GAAATGTTTTGAATTAAATTTACACTGTACTATATTAATTTATATTTGTTAATATTTATTCCTATCTCATATTAAATATATATTTAATTACATCTATTATCACATTCATCACTAAGTTTATCAATTAATTTCGATTTCAAGTTTTCCAGCGTAATATTATCTTATTATTTTCAAATTTTTAGTGGCGATATTTATCTACCATATATAAATTTCTAGTCAAATAATAATTATTCTGAAATTGTCCAACAGGGAGAAAGAAATTGCAACCTTGTCCTACGAGATAGAGTCTCCGCCATCAAGCAGTAACAGCTTTTATGGAGTTAGAAAAGTCGATTATTTGCTATTACTGACATATCACAATGGCCTGAAAGAAATTTTTCCTTAGAAGCAGGAAAATTAATGGATTCAATGCTTATTCCAAATTTTTTTTCTCATAGAATGTACAATTATTTTATGTATTACTTTTCAAAAACATGATGACTTGATTAAGATGAGAATAGCGGAGAGCATTTTATTAGAATTCAAGGAAATTAGGGCTAATGTTTATGAAGAATTTCATATTTTATATGTTTTGTTAAGTCAAAAGCAGAGCTATATGTGTTTAATGTCTCACTTGACTTGCAGCAAGGCAAGCTCATAGTTAAAACATTAATATAGGATCAGTAGAAGAGTATATCTTAGATACAAATTTATAAACCAAATAAATGAATGGTTTTTAATTCATTATGCAGCACTTACCAATCTGCAAATATTATTTCCATAAAAGCCTTCCCAACCTTTATTCAGATAATGATAGAAAAAAAAATATCTGTTGGATTTTTATCATGAAGATGTTAAAGTATCTTATGATGCCTTATTAGCTGAATAACTATGTTTATAAGATTAACTATGGTTGATACAGTCCCAAAAAATGCTATAGATGCTCTGCATTATTTCAAACACATTTTAGATTATATTCCCAATGTATTAAAAGAGTTTGTATATATATTAGCAACTCTTCCCAATAATTAACTAATGAGAGAACATTCTCTTTTTTAAGAAGAATAACAGAGCCCTGCAGAGGTACCATTTGCAAGGCACGACCTGGATTTTTTTAAAGATTTTTACGGCTAAGCTCAATTTTCAGGCCCGGCCCGGCCTTTTTTAAAATAAAATTTTCAGGCCCGACCCGGATTTTTTTAAAATAAATTTTATTTATTTTTGATTTTTATAGCTAATAATAACGATTTCAAGTATAGGCTGTTTTAAAATATACAATCTGGCCTAGATGTTTTTTTTTAAATTCAGGTTCAGCCCTGGTGTTTTTTTTTAAAAATTTCGGGCCCGGCCATACGATTCGGCCCGGGGGCCGGGCCTGCAGGTCTCTGAAAAACATACCAAGAAGTACAACTTTTGAAAGTAGATTGAAAGGTTTGGATCTTTTGAATATTCATAGGCATTTGACAAGCAAGGATGAGATAATTGAAAAATTAGCTCAATCCCAACGAAGATTGGATTTTACATTGTAAATAATATAACATACAAAATACAATTATTCCCTAAGCTTTTTGTGTATTAATTTACATTTCTAACATTTAAATTTTTTATACTTTATATAAATTTTAAAGCTCAAAAAATTCAAATCTATTTTTGGTCATTTAAGTGATTCTTTACATATAATTTTTTTATAATTCACATTAATTTAAAATTGTGTATTAGAAATAGTTATTAGTCCTAATAAATTTATGCTTGATATTTTTAAAAAACAATAATATTTCTTAAAAAATTTTATTATCCCCCCCCCCCCAGACCAAATTCCTGCGTACGCGCCTGGCCGTGTTGAATGAATAGGTATTTTATATTATTTTTTGTTTTTGACACTACCACATTTGGTTATAATATATATTTAAAAAAATTAACATTTTCGGAAAAAGTCTGTGGCCTAGTAGGTAGGTGAGTCTCGGTTATATTAGTAAATAATTTTTAAAATTATATTAAAATATTTTAGATAAAAGATAAGATTAGGAAGTGCAAAAAAAATTGTATAAAGATCAAAGGGGAAAATAGCAAGAAAAAAAAAATAAAATTAAAGAAAAATGAGAGAAAAAAATAAGATCGATGAATATATTATATAAGATTAAAAGAAAAGATGATCAACAAAAATAAGAATATTGAGGATGACAAAAATATAATTATAATAATAATAAAATTAAAGAGAAATAACAAAAATTAAAAATAACTTTAGAAGATGATCAAAAATAACCAGTGGTTAAAAGATACTTTTTGAAATGGATCTAAATACAGATACATTGTCTTAAGAGAATGTTGCTACAGAAACTTCGCCTAAAATTGTATCTGTATCTAGATTCAATTTTTACCAATATATGCAATTGTCAGTAAGATACTTATGATTCTATTGTTAAAATTCAAATTTTGAAATGAGCTAAAAATAATTTATTGAATTGATATCTCATCTATATACATGTATAAATAATAAGTGATAACATAAACAAATTAAAATAATTCTACAAAATGAAAATATAGTTAAATTATAAATGTTTCGTTTTGTTTTAGCAATACATTTACAAAATATATATAATTAATTACCCTTATTTAAAAGTAATTATTTTTAACTTTTAAAAGGAAAATATGATAGGAGACAAAGGAAAGAGATATTAGGAAAATAATTTAATGATATTGATATACATTAAAAAATTTTACCTTAAAATTTTCTTTTATATATTGCTGTTTAATACAATTCTAGTCAAAAATAAATATTTTTACAAGATTATAACATAAACATAACTATAAATAATAATTGTTAGATTTTAAATATAAAACATTCTCTAAATTTTGTCCACTATAAAAAAATGCTTAAAGTAAAGTTATATCTAAATGCATCTATAATAGATAGTATCTAGATACTTTTGTAAAAGTTTATCAAGATAGAAACACCACATTTTTGTATCTAGATCTTTTAATAACTCTGAGAATCACAATAAGAGGAAAATATATCAATTAAAATATCTAAATAAAATAATTGTTAATTAAGAATTTTCATTTTTTAATAACCCTTTTCCATTTTCTTTGTGTAGAACTTTATCGAACGAAACTTCTTTTTTTTAAATTGATTTTTTCCTTTTTTGATCGAACTTTTTTCTCTTTCAATCACACCTTTTCTTAAGACTTTTGTACTTTTTTTTGATCGAGTTTTATTTCTAATTGAATGGAAAACTATGAATATTATAGTTTTTCTCATTTTTTTTATTAAAGTAGGGAGACGGGATGGTGTTATCCTGGGGCAACTATTTCATTATCAAATAATTTTAAAACTAATGTATCTTTCGAAATTTAAACCATCTATATTAATAAAATGCTCTAAAAATGTTTCGCAAAAATATGCTCATGAAAAGTGTTAATGAATTTAAATTTTAACAAATAAAAAGTAACTTTTTAATTTTTTGTTATATCTAGTCTAATCATGTATAAAAATATTGACAATATTTATAATAGTTTTATATCTTGAAATCAAATTTAAATTGAATTTGAAGATCTGGGGTAGGTTTTGGCGAGATGCGTATTAGCCCTTTAAACAATGGTTGATTTTTTATAAAAAATTCAACTTTAATAAGCAGAAGCCACGAGTTTGTTTATGGTCACGCATGACAATATGAAGATGGTTGACTTGTTTTTCATAAATTATATGACAAATTCTTCTGGGTGATATATACCAGATCTGCAGGCCTAGCCCTAAGTCCAGCGGCCGGGTCGTATTTTAATTTTTTTAAATATAAAATCGCCATTATTAGCAATAAATATTAAAAATAATATATTTTACAAAAATCCAGGCCGGACCTAAAAAATGTTTTTAAAAAAATATCCGGGTCGAACCAGGCTTAAAAATATAAAACTCGGGCCGTGCTAATGGCACCTCTGCAGATCTCTATAATATGGATGAACCTGATACATTTAACATATTTTATTTTACTTAAGATTAACATATTTGTATAAAAAATAAAGAACGCTATAACACGCAAGGCGAAGGCCAAAAAGGTAATCCTGGTGTTTTTTGTTTTTTTAAATTTTATATTAATAAAAAAACTAAGACTTTTTTTCTAATTTCTAAAAATTAATTGGTTAATCAGCTTCATCCATTTTTTATGGATAATATAACCCCAGTCTCCCCCTACTATTATTCCTGTCGTTGAGTAACAGTACATTTTGTTTTATTAATAAGTATCTAATCTTAAACCTCTGGGAAAAAATGCCGCTGATAAAAAATATACCAATTTTAACAATTTTTCCAAAAATATTTAATTTGCATTATTTAAGAAAATGACAGATCATTTTATTCAGAATACTTTGTGAGTGTGATTACCTGAGATTTTGTCTGATGACTCCTCAAATTGTGTGCCCATTTAGCATGTATGATAACCTATTATAATACTTTTATGAAACTTTGTTTTAGTATCGTATCAAATAAATATCAGAGAAAAATGCAGTGATTTTAAAAAGTCAATATCTTGTATAAACTATATTAATGAAAATATTCGATTCGTATTAATAAGAACATTTAATCGATTTAATTCGTCGAATATTCCATTCAAAAATTAAATTCTTTAAAAATATATTTAAAAATGAAAGGTTCATTACAATTTTAAAAAGTGATTTATACGTAGGAAAAAGCAAAAAATAAAAAGTTCCGCAAGGAAATGTTAAATAATTAAGAATATTAAATATTTATAAATAATTTCTAACATTTACAAATTATTTTAAATGATTTTGAATATTTAGAAATAACTTAAAACATTTATAAATTATTTCAAATAATTATACGAATAATTTCAAATAATAGATAGAAAATTATTCGACAGATAATATACTTTCCTTATTCGTATTCGATCCAAAAATCTTGTTACCCGTATTCGTATAATATGCATCGAATATCATTAAACTAAGAAATTATAAACCAGGAACGGTAAAATAAATCTTTGCAAATTATATATTATCTTTATAAAAATTTTATTTATTATTATCGAGTCGATGTATAATTAAAAAATATTTATGATATAATAATTCACTAGCTTTTCATACAATAGGTTTTTTCTTTAATGGTTTAGGTGGAATTTTTCTGAATGCAAACATCATGTAGCATCCTAGAATATATTTTTAAATAAAATTATTAAATGTTAATTTCTGTTTTTTTTTGACAAGTAAACCTAGATATTTTCAAAAATTTTAATTAATTTTTTTTAAAGAAAGTATACAAATTGTTTTTGGATTGGATAAATGGTATTTCTAAAATAAATAAACACGAGGGAAATTATTAAAACCATATTTAGTAATTTAATTTTTAGTATAAATAAACCAAATTATTAAATTAAAAAATAAATTAATTGTTTTTTGGATATTTATATTAAAAAAACAAAAATCTTAATCTCTAGATAAAAAAACTTTGGTTCTAAATGACCCTGTCTAAAGCAATAACCAATTTTCGCATTTGGTCAAATATATCAACGACAACCTTAACTTACAATCTATCTTTTTAATTTAATTTTCTCTTTTTTTTCCAAAACGGCCCACGAAGTTATATTAAAAATTGTAAAAAATAAGTAATTAATATATTGTTTACCGATAACTTGCCATTCTGATTTAGATATCGTGTGCTAAAATAATTTTATAATAAAAATGATTTCAGGTGATATGACTTATTTTTGTTTTGTTATAAGAAACCTAAGAGGCCCGACCTGGTTTAGCTCACTCAAACCGTGTCTTATTAGTTTTTAGAACCAGGGATCATAAGTAATAGGGGGGATGCTTGTTTTATGTATTCGCCCTGTGAAGAGCAAGCATGAGTTAGTCTCTGAAAATGATTATATTCCCTTAAAATATATATTATATAAAAATTAACCCACTAAAACAAATCTCATTAAGGCTATGTTGCAAATTATGCGATATATAATATATAACCTATATTCTTAATTACATTCATTTTCTCTCTTTATATACCACGAGTGATGGGGCTAATTTTAAATTTTTAAATAAAAATAATTTTAATATAAACATGTAGTGCAGCATTTTTTTTAACATTAAATGGTATTTTTATCAATTATATATCTGGGCACAATTTTCTATAGCAATTAGTGTTGTTAAACAACTTGATTTAGTCAATTTTAAATTAAAAATAATATTATGCAAGCCTCGAGATTTCGTTAATAGATGTCCAAACCATCTGTGAGCAAATTCTCCAGGCTTGCATAATATTTTTTTAAATATTTCGTCTTTAAAAATCGAACCGTTTAACAACACTAGCCATATAGAGTGGTTTATAATAGTTTGAATCAGATGCCAATATTTCTAATATCTCTTTTATAGTAGCAATTGCTTTGCTTTGGTAAAAAAATAATTTTTATTCACATGAATATACTTTTTTTTGAAGTAATCTAAATACAAGATAAGATATTTATGAAAATATCCCCCAAAAATACTAGATCCTTTGCTATCATCCGAAGTTGGGTCTATTCATTTAAATAGAGCCGGGCTAAGATTTTAAGGAAAATTTAGGCAGAACTTCAAAAAAGAGAAAATGGGGCTTTCGCTTCTTTTATTAAAATAAAATTATAACCGAACAAAACTTGGTTTTTTTTAAATCTAACTTTAAAAAAAATGCGTTTAATTAATATTTTCAATTAAAAATTTAGGGCTTGTCCTATAAAATCAAAATTCGAACTGGGCCTAAAAATATATTTATAAAACATTTTAGCCAGGTTCGGGCCGAAATAAAATTAAATAAGGGATCTGTGAAGAGATACAAAAAGTATTCGTATCATGTATTTAAAATAAAAAGTATTAGTGATACTACCCAACTCTACATAAAATTTAAGCCACATTAATTAACTAGTTGAGAATCACCTTATGGGGGTTAAAACTTCGCTTACAATATTACATAAAATTTACTTTGAAAACCTAAATCTACTAAACCATGGGCCAGAAAATAGATACTTAAGCTAATATCTCATTTATAGCCCAAACAAATAAAGAGTCCCGAATGATAATAAAATTTATAGTTACTAAATGAGGTATTTCGTCATTCCTTTTGGCTATTTTCTATATAATTTTTTTTTACAAATTAAATTACATGAATAAAAGTGGAAAAGGGTATTACCTCTAAAAGGAGTCTAACATGTCTAAATTCATCATCCTCACTCGTATCATATATGTTGAATTCCTAATTAAAATACATTTTTTAAACATGTTTTTGTATTTTGTAAAGACTTATTAAAGTTCCTTCATATAAAAAAAGGAGCTAAGGAAGCGCCCACACCTTTGATTTTAATTTTGGCTGAAATTTTTGTTAGGGCAAATGCAATATATATACAAAATAAAATTTTATTTTCGTCAATAATATATCACGGAGATAGAATTATAGTGCTTCACTCGACATTTTTACTATATAATATGTATGGAAAAATTATCAGTTAAATATTGGCATATTTTTAATCAGTTAAATTATTATTTCTATGCTGGGTGTTGGATCTGAAGTATCAAATGACGCTATATCTTCCTAAATAACCGCAGTTAGTAATGACGTTACTTGCCAGCAGCTTATAGTCGTGTGAAAGTTGTTTTTTTAAATATTATTATTGACAGGTATAGGAGACATTAATGTAAAAGAGGTTGACAAAATTATAAATCCGTAAAAAAAATTCAATTTCAAAATGAGCTTAGAAAATGGCTAGTTAAAAAGTTCATCGTTGCAAAAATTTTTATGCAATTAGTTTCGCCTGACTGTTTAAAAAAAAGACTACTCACAAACAAATTAACACTACAGACAGGTATATAGTATTTTAAAATATGCAAGTTTCAGATGAAAGCGGTTCTCCGGGTGGAGGTGAATTGAATAAAACCTCTAAATATATGACTTTCGATAAAAAATTATATAGATCATTATTTTAATTTTAAATTTGATTATTCTAAAAAAAATAAGACCAAACTTGGTATATCTTCATTCTTTCTGCCAAATCGAAGTTGATTTGGTGTTTGAAGTAAAATTCGTGAAAATTATAGCTCAAGACACACATCATGCTAAATTTGTCCTGAAGCAATCTATACATTTCAAAAAAAAAAGTTTAAAAAAATTTCTAGGTAGGAGCAAATATGATAATTTAATTTAAAGAGTGCCTGTAATATTTCAATTAGAGTTTAAAAAATAATCATTTTCCGCCAAAATATTTTTTTAAAAATTATTAACTTTATAAGCCCCTAAATGTAATATTTCTCGAATTATTATAGCGAGAATACGAAAAAATGGGATAGCGATAATAATATTACTATTCAAGGTGTGTGGGGTGGAGGGGGGGGGGGATTTTTTAAGACATCACCCGCAAGCTTAACTTGCCCGACATTTTTCCATTATTAACTTATCTATGACATAGAGTGAATTATAAGTTCACAAAAAATAAATTTAAAAAAAACCTATATAAATATCATAATGGTATATTTACAATATTAAAAACTATAATAATTATTAATAATAAGGCGAATCCAGATTGTTTATGATTTATGTTCATACATCAATTCAAGTTTAAAAAATCTTGTTTAATTAGCATTTTAATCCTATTCAAAAAATAAATATTCGCATATAAAAGCAAAAGTAAGCTAAATATATATTTCTAAAAATTAATTAAAAATAGTTTATTAGAGCCCTTGCAAGGCTGATCAGACAGGATCGGACCTTGATTTTTTAAATGTTAATTTGATCTGTGTTTAGAGATCGAAAATCAAGGGTTTCGGACCGAACTGCGAAACTGGAACAAACCGTTATAATTTTCTGAACCGTAATCCAATTAAAAAGAAAAACTTGGTATTGATTGATATGAAGATAAGTTTACATCGGTTCATAACGGCTTTTAAAAAAAATTAATTTAAAATTATTAACTTAAATTCAAAATTTTAATTTTCCTTGGGGGCCATTTAAATTCGTGATTTCCTAACAAATCAAAAAAATTTTATACACATCTTCATATCAATCAATACCAAGTTAATTGTTTTTACTATATGCTCAATTTAATAGATTTTAGGCAAATTACTATTTAATTAGATAAGAAATAATCTTAAAACAGTTATCACTCATAATAATACTTGCTTTTAATTTCGGGAAAATCATATAATTCCAATATTTTTCTAAATCTGTTTTTTTAAATCTTAAAATATTAAAAAATCTTACTATAATTCTTCAATTTAAATAAGTTAACTAACATTGCATTAAATTATTCTTATACTTTTATTTTATTTATTTATATTAAATGGTCTCACATTGAGTTAAAAAAATTGCAAGTTTTACATTTTAAAAGTTAAATTATATGATAAATTTTCTTAAAAATCCAAATTTATAAAAACCGAAATGAACCGAAAATAACCGTTATAAATTCTAAACCGTAACGAACCGATATGAATTTCTTCAAAAAAAACCGGAATGGAACAAAACCTTTATAAAATTCCAAACTAAAAAAAGGAAAGAACCGCTATACTATACGGTTTAAAACCCTGTCGACAATTATAAAATATTAATAACTTTTTTATATTTTCCTTTAGCAATTATAACTTCTTTCGCTTACGCTAAAATATCGTTCTTTTCAACAGTCCAGTGATAACAATGGGATAGGAAAATCGGGCTCAGATCGCCGAAAATAGAACTAGATCATCTGGATAAAAAATTTCCTAGGATCGAAAGGCATAAAAGTGAACGAAGGTAAGACTAAGGTGATGATTGGAGGCAAAGGATCAAAAAAGAAGGAAGAAACGGACACTTGAACTATGTGCTGTGCATAGGACAATTTACTAGCTATCAGAAATGGGTGTATAAAAGATGTAGTGGTGAGAACGGAAATTTAGTGAAAGCAAATATGACTCTTACCTGTAGAACATGTGTGAAAGGTGCTAATGATAATGTAGAAAAGGGTGGTTTAAATATCGGTAATGGAGCTCCTCTAGAAAAAGTGGTAAAGTTTTATTTGTCTGAACGTAGGTGAAAGTGTTGATTCTTGCAAGGGTAAGATATGCATGGAAGAAGTTTCGAGAGCGAGATATCTTCGATTCTGACATATAAAACATATCTCTGAAGCTGAAGGGAAAAGTTTATGTGAGCTGTGTGAGAAGCTGTATAGTCTTCAAAGGCAAAAGTGGATAATGAAAGCAGCGCATGAAGCTAAATTAGAAAAAATGGAGATAAGAATATTCGGAGGGTTGGGATATATATGAAAGAAAAACACGAATTGTGGTAAGGAATAGGTAAAACGATTGAGTCGTGATTAGAATAAATCGACTAAGGTGGTTTGAGCATGTTAAATGAAAGACGCAAGATGATTTTGTTAAGAAATGGACTTCATTGGAAGCAATGAAATCAAAGCAATGTGGAAGACCAACAAATCGTGGGTGAAAGTGATAAAGGACGGCATAGAATGGGTCTTACAAATAGCGGCGACTAGAACTGTAGGGGGTCACTATTAAAATTAGGAGTATCTGAATGGAGAAAAGAGATCAGAGAGGAAGCTGGCTTACCCGGGTAAACCTAAAAACCGCCAATAAACGATAAAAAAGATGAATATAACCATAAACAATGAAAATATCGGGTCGAGTTGTATTTTTTTAAATATCGGTCTGATCTGATTTTTAGATCCTAGAGGAATTTATTATCGCAGTCCTATTTGTATGTTATGTTTCCTAATGCATCCAAGACTGATGATTCATTCATTTAAATATGTACCAATACAAATCAGCTGGTGACATGCTATTTTTGTTTCCCCTATAAATTTAGTTTGGAAAACCAAACCAGATCTTGTGCTAAGATTAATTTTCATGAATGAACCGCCATTCGAGGTAAATATTATATGTCATTGGATATAACTGTCCTAACTTGACTACCGTTTTCCAATTTTTAAAAAAAAATAAACTCCATGTCTCATCTTATTCGCTCGCCAGTTTGGGCAATTTACTAGTAAATTTTAAAAAATAAGTATTAAGTTTAGAAATAGCATTAAATAAAAAAAACAAGTAGGAAAACATGTGATTTGGTCATTTTAATTATATATTTTTTGAAATGCGGTGTCATAGAAAACTTTAAAAAAACATTTAAATTAAAAATCAAAACACCACTAAAAATTCTAATTATGTATTTTTTTAAATTTGTAATAATTTAAAACCAAAAAAAAAACCTTTTTAAAAATGGGAAGTAAGCCAGAAATTCGGTACAATCAACTCTCTCATCCAAATAAAAAGAGAGATTAGCCCCAACCAGTGGAGGAACGATTACTTCTTGAAAGGATTTCTTGTCTCCATTATTAGCTATTTTGGGGGAAGGGTTATTGATGGAATTTAAAGATGTTTGATCAAAATTATTGATGTTGGAATGGCAATTTTTGTATTGAGCGAAAGTTGGGTGATCGAACGTAATGCAGCATATGTCATTTTTGAATTGATAACAAGATTTTGGGCTATTAATAGCAACATTTTGAACTGGTAACTCTTTGAGCAACTTCCTATCAGTTAAAAAATATATTTTGAAAATTTATTTAAGATTATAAATATACTATATATATGCCAATATATAAAAAAGAAATTCCTTTAACTGTTTGTGACAGATAATTCCTATACTATATAAAAAAGACTTTTAAATATTAATTTTACTCGATGTATATGAGAATTACAACGACCATTTATAATCTAAAAGGTTAATCATAAAAAAAGTTTTATAAAAATTAGCTTCAATACATTGTATAAAGTATCGCAACTCAAAATATATCTACATTTAAACTTAAATCAATCACTATCATCGAAATTTTAAATTATTTTAAAAATTTGATTTATAATGCATTCATAATTAAATAAAATAAAAAAATAATGATTTTAAAATTAATTATAAATATATTTTAAGATTTTTATGTGTATTTATTATATAAAATTGAAAATACGCTACTTGGCTACTTTTTAGATTAGTAACGCACTACTAATATCGCTATTTTTTTCTAAAGTAGACTGCTATAGTAGCGCGCTATTTAACAGCACTGATATACAACTATTTAAAGATAATTTTATATACACATTCTTATTTTGTATAAGTTTATGTATACATAAATTTTACTCATGATTTTGATGAATATATACTATTAGAATAATTTACCATAATCTAACTTCTTACTAAACTAGAATATAACAAATGGTGGAATGTCTTTTTAAATTATAAACTTGATAAATTGGGCAACTGTTTAAGTTGGGATATCTTAGTCCAAGCGGTGCCCAAATCGAGGTTAAACTGTTCGATTTTTTTTAGCATATGAATATGAATTAATTATTTATTTATATAATATTTTAAAAATAATTTCACAAACATAGAATATCTATGCAAATTTAAATAAAAAGAAAAACCTGTCAAATTTGGGCGGCATTGGGACCAAAATTTGTCCAAAATTAGACAGTTTCTCAATTTATCAAGATTTTACTTTCCTAGAAAAACAAATTAAGAATAAGTATAAAAATTAATTTATGAAATAAAATAAAAATGGTATCTTTGTTTGTTTATTTGGTACAATATGTTATATTTGCATTATGTTTGATAATGTCTCCTTTGAATTTAAGAATAGTGTAATAGTTCCTATAGAAATATTTAAATCTTTAGCACTTTATTTGAGTTTAATGATTTATTTTATTTGACGTGAATAGTTTTAAAATATAAATTTTATAATATAAATGAATGAATGCAACAAATACCCACTTAATAGAGGTCTTACGCAAATGGATAAAATTAAAAATCGCTACCCAATATATCTAGGCATTTTCTAAGGAATATGATTTGGACTCAAAATTAAATAAGAATTAAAAATTTTTATAAATCTTTAATTTCTTTGGGCTCTTTTTGTTTGAAAAGATTTCACTAGCCCTCGATAATTTCTTTTCCATATTTTTATATATGGATCTAGAATCCACTCTGATATCCAAGATACATTTATATTTTTGAAAATTAAATTTGACAAGTTATTTACTCTACTCGCTTCGACTATCTGCCATGATAAAATTCATAAGATGAAAGCCCCTTTCATACTCGGCAGTACTGCCGAATAAGGTATCTACAGAGTAGGGAATTTAGAAAAAATTTTCATTTAGGAAATATTGGTTAGAGCAATCTTTTCATATTCATTTAATTTGAGTATTTGTGCCAATTTTTTTTATTCTTTTCCCGCCATCAAGTTCTAACAAATGTATCAGAAAGAATTTCTAAAATAAATAAAAAATCATTTTACTCTCGGTTTTCAGGGATAACTGCAGTAATGATTTCTACTGATATTATAAATTAGTCTATTTTTAATCTTACCAGTTTTGGAATTTTTTTTAATGGTATATTTTTCAAATAAGTTTAATTTCAGAATTGCGACATCTGTAAATATTCACCTATACAATAAGTAAATGTTATTGCCAACATGTTCTTAATAATTTAATTTTTAAATATTCGTCAACCAATAAAAAAATGATTTATAGACAAAAAGACACAAACCTGATAAAATATATCCTAATTTATTACTTATTTTAAAGCAGATTGATTAATCCTACCAATAACCTACCTCTTTGAAAATTTCAAATTCCTATTTAAACATTTATGAGATTTTGTTTAAATTGGACAATTTCTTACCTGTAGGGTTATTAAATCGGCTCAATCCTAACAGTTGAAAAAATTTGCTAAGACTTGAAGGAAATAGCATATTTTTTTTCAAGATATTTTAAGTTTAAGGCCTCCCCCCCCTTAGAATTAATGCAATTACTGAAAATTTTTTCTAATATCCATAAAAATTGTTAAAATGAGAGAAATCAAAATTTCATTTTAGTTGATATTAAAAAATAAAGCAAAAATAATAAAAAATAAAACTTTTTGCTTCTCTATCTTCTAAGAACATTTTTTTTTAAAAAATCAATTTATGATTATATTAAAATTATAATTTTTATATCAATATAATAAAAAAAAGGGATTCAAATTTAATTTTTTGAAAAAATAGTAAAATTATTTGGCAGCAGTGCGTAACACATGAACAAAATTTGGAAAGGAGGCTAAAAATAAAATAAAAATTAGCGAGGTTGACTTAGCTCCCCATAGCCCCTCCCCTTGCAATACATCCTTGATAATACTTATTGAGAATTGAAGGCTTAATATCAAAATATAATAAATAGCTATAGAGGAAGGAGACATAAAAACGAACAGTTTAAAAGGGTGAGTTGATATTTTGTATAAGGAATTGTGAAATATTTAAATTTTATGTAAGATTATCTTTCAACATTGTGAAAGGATGTTTTTACTCATGAAAAGCAAAATGCTTAACCCTGAAGTCATAGTTAGTGTGAATTCCTGGAGAAGTATATAAAATATGATGTATTTTATTATTCGTCATGAATTTACTTGAACTATGAATTCAGGGTAAAATAACAAATATTGATTAGATTTATTACATCAATTTGAAGGCATCTGTCATGGAACCAAGAAAAAATCCATAGTCAGATAAATTTTGTGTAGCATTCAATAGCATCTGTTTTAAACGAGGGAGCGATTGGAAAGCATAATGTAACGCAAATTGACAGCTAACTATATTGAATTGAATATTAACATCTATACCTTGCTGGAAAAATTTCTCTTTCAGATTAACCTTTAATATATTTTTTTAAACATAAAATTTAAGAAAAAGTACAAAATATTGGTAAATTTTAGAATTAGTGTTTCCAATTGTTTAGTCAACTTTAACAAAGATGATATAAGGTAACTACTAAAAAATTAATATTATATTTAAAAAAATTAAGGGGTGTTTGGGAAGCCCACCAAATTTTTTTACCCCCATGGATAAATTCATGCCATTGAGCTTAATCTTAAATATTTGTAGTTGCACCAAAATAAATAACTATATAATATTGGGGAGTGTTTAAATTAAAAACTCTATACTTTATGGATTATCACTATCAATAACCATGATTAATCAATAGTATGCCAATAATAATTTTTATTTCAAGCCCAAGTCTGGACTAATATTCTTATTTTAGGGCTAAATTAACAAATAAAAATATGGAAAGTCTAATAAATCCATGATAATATTAAGGAGTGTTTAAATTAAAACTCAATACTTTATTGATTATCACTACAGAATTAATCAATAAGTATAATACATTTCTGTCAATAATATTTTTTATTACAAGCCCAAGTCTGGTCTAATATTTTTAATTGAAGGCTAAATTAACAAATCCCAAAACCAAGAAAATCTTTAGCCAGCCTGCAAAAAATAGCAATATTCATATATTGTATTACTTCACAGCAATCAGCATGGATAAAATATGCTTTATATGTTTTTTTATTTTGTTGTTTTTTTAAATAAGCATCATATCGTTTCTCGCATTGTTCAATACTTTGTTTGGCAATATCTTATATATGTTATTATAAAAATTGAAAAAGAATTTTTTATAATAACCCACAAATACAACTATTTCAGGGTTAACATAATGCCATTTATTAATATCACCACCTTTCCCACAACACAAATCAAGCACCTTAAGTTCACCATTCTGGTGCAATATGTTAACATATTTATCTTCAAAATTTGATAAACCAATATATCGATATTTGATTTATATACTTATTAATTCTTGTTTTAAATAATTATTAAAATTTCTTAAAAACAATATTTTGCTATCCTTTCTTTGTTTAATATTCTGTTCATTTAAATTTGAATAATGAGAAGAAATATCATTTTCATATGCCTAAAAACATTGTATAAAATTATATATGTGTATTTACCATAATTTATAAATTAATTCTGTATTAAACAACAAAACTTTTATCACGAAGCATTTTTAGCGAAATATTTGTCGCGAATGTCGTTCATCGTTACATTCATAGTTAGCGCGAACGCGGATTCACTGCGAAAAATACAAAGTAGGGTAGGTTTCATGTCACATTCATAATTATAGTTCGCTTGTCTATATTTTGTCATTAGACAATAATCCAATTGTATGGAATTTCTCACCTTGAATTCTTAATGAAGTATCGCGAATAGCCGCGATGCAATTTTTATTCATAGTGCAAAGTGATTTTATTAATTTATAAAATAGTATCTGTCAAATTATTATTTTTATTCAAAATAATCATGAAGAGGAGTAATATACAATCTCGATAATAGTTAAAGAAAAGAGGATGAATTTTACAACACCTTTCTCTAGCTCTTAATAAAAGGCAAAATTTTTTAATTATATAAGAATGACCAAAGTATTTATTTAATCTATTTTATCTTTGATTCAATTTTATATAGGAAACTTTTTATTACAACTAAAACATGTAAAAAACAGTTTTATACATAACAGCCACAAATTTTATTAAATATCCTATAACCATTGAAGAAAAATTTATAAAGTACTTTATAATTTAAATCAATTTTTTTCATAGGTATTTAGCCACTGGCTTTAACTATATTGCCTATTGCTTCAAATAGGGAAACAATCCAAAAAATTATTAGAATCAAATGCTTATATGGCAAACTATAGCATGCACTAATATGCCACATCATAGACCTATAGAGGTACCATTTGTACAACCCGGCGGATTTTTTATTTAAATTTTCGGTCCAGCCCGGTTTTTTTTCTAAAAAATTTTTCTGACCCCCAGGGTTTTTTTTATAAAAAATTCAGGCCCGGCCTGGATTTTTTTCAAATATATTTTATTTATTTTTGATCTTTAGCTAATAATGGCGATTTTAAATAGTAGGTTTTAAAATATACTGCCCGGCCCGGATTTTTTTTTTAAAAAATGAAATTTTTCCATGTACTCACTAAGCCATTTGTGCCGTCATGTTATCGGTACATATTTATTATTTATTTATTTTATTTGCAAATGAATTTTTTTTATCAAGCCTCATTTATACAACGTATTATGTTCTCCTATATATCAACATATGATGCTATTGTAGCTTAGCGTGCTACTTTAAAAACTATGTTAAAATGGTTTTTAATTACATAAACAAATAATTAGCATTTAGAATATAACTTTGATATATATAATGTTAATACTTTTGATACTATTTTCTTTAAATTTTTTTTTAAAATAAAATAAAATATAAATGTCAGTGGGCCTCTCAAACGAAAACGCCATACGCCCTGTTGGCATATCTCTCATTCCCTGGACCAATGGTCTTCCCCGTCGATTTTGTCGATAAGTCCAACCTCTCATTTTCTGCCATCGAAAAGACCGAAATCCTAATAAAACAAATATGCTTGCCTCACTAATACCGTGTTTATCCCAATCGTTATCAATACCCTAGGCATGTTCGAAAGTGATGCTTTCATTTTCATCAGAACTATAGGAAAAAATGAGGCAGATCTCAGGGGACCCTAATGAAGTTTTACCTTCGTCTGCCGGTTCAATTTTTTAAGCATTCACTCTTCTCTAGGGTGATTTGTACCCTTTTTTAACATTTTATAATTTCTTTTTATGCCATTTCTCTTTTACACATACATATTTTTTAATTCATTTTTTATATATTATTAGTTTTTTTATATATTTTTTTTTAATTATAATTCGTAAATGAAAAATTTATGAAAATTTGTTACTTAAATAAAACTATATGATAAAAAAAAAATGTTAGGGTATAAAGTATAAAACATATGTTTCTTACTTTATAGGAAAATATTTTATACGAAAGTATGTTTCACCAACCTTTTTGACCGATGTCTCATCAAACGGGAATTAAATGTTATTATTTAATATAAAAACGTATTATATATTCAATATAGGCAGTAGTGACCTTTTAAAATTTTTAGCTACATCAAAAACCTCATCGAAAATCAGGGCTGTGAAAATTTCAATAGACTCTGGTAAACTTATATTTTTGATAGAAAATTCTAACCTCATTACAGAAAAACTAATTTTGGATAAAGTAGAAAATGCAAAGCAAAGTTGGATGCAAGATATCCTTTTTTTAATTATGACATAATATTTTTTTAATCTAACATTTTTCTTAACTATTATTCACATTATGATAGAATAATATCCAAATTTATAGAAGATAAACAACCATGTTACATATTCTATCGCCTAGATAACATAGGAGATTCCTCCTATAATTGGTTGTTTATAACCTGGTCGCCAGATGATGCACCTGTAAATTACTATATATATATTTAGATATTATTCCTATCTAAAGATAAAACAAAAAATGATATATGCTTCTACAAAAGCAACACTTAAAAAAGAATTTGGACTTTCATTAATATCAAATGAGTTATTTTCCACATCAAAAGTAATATATATATTTTTTATTTTAAATCATTAAATGATTTACTCTAGTTAGATATATAAATATTATATCTTTGTTAGAGGTTCATGCAGGTAGTGGGCATGGCCAAAATATTTTTGGGCATAGTTGGACTGGAAAAATTATCCAGAATATTTTTATAAGTCAAAGTTTTGTAATATTTATAAACCTAATCATTAGGCTAATTTATATCATTTTCCTATAAAAATTAATATTGGTTGACTCTACAAATTTACAAAATATATATTATGGGCCAGACAAATATAACTATGAGTCAAGCATATAACCTGATAAAAAAAAATTCCATGGACTACACCAACCTCTTATCTCTATTGATCATTTTTGCTGTTATTGCACATATATGTCTTATATCAAGGTCATACTAAGCCTTTTCCTGGACTGGGGTGAAAATAAATTTGGGAAACCCTTTAAAACTCAGAATACAAATTAAAAGATTTATGTAATATTATGGCCATATACACAGGGGTAGATCTGCTGTGGACTGGGACACTAAAATTAGACTCTTTTAAGAGATGTTAAATTTTGATTTTATATGCATTAAAAAGTGAATTTTCTTTAGAAAAATAATGCTGTCTTGATTATACCACTGTTTAAAGACGTTAAAGATTTTAGCCAAAAAATATTACCCAAGGTAAGATTTTGTTCATAGGTGGTGTTGAACATCTATCACCCCTCCCTAAAAAGGTATAAATATTACAAAAATTATGCCTGATATTGACTAGGGATAAAAAAAATTTATAAACCATATTTTCAAGAAAAAAACAAGGGGTGATTCTTCCCTCATAATTGTGTTACTGGGCATAACTATTGAACCTATGTTTTGCAAAACTTATTTTAGCAATTATAAGTGTACCTCTGAAAATTACTGAAAAAATTGCAAGAGAAAACAGATTGATTGGAAAATTATTACACAAACCTGGAGATTTTGCTCATAGATGGCACTTTGTACATTTATTAACGAAATCTCTAGGCTTAGGAAATAAAATTAAATGTATAGATTGTCTTCCCATATCTCAGCCCATGTTAAATATTGAAGGCTTATTTTATTTCAAAGTTATGATATTACTTTTGCTATAAAAAAATTAGGAAAATATCTGAAGGGGTCTAGGTGTAAGGTTATTTGGCATGGAATTTGCTATAAAATATTTGATGGTTCAGTCACTATGTATATAATTACTTTTAGTTAAAAATTTAATAAATTATTTTTTTTTAATTTAACTTAAATCCTTATCTTACATAAAATGTAATTAAATAACAATGCATCCCAGCTTGAAGTTTTATTAAAGCAGGCCAAAGCTACAGTATTAGAGAATATGGATATGATATTAAAATGTGATCCACAAACCAATCATACAAAAATTCACCATTGTCCTAACAATAGCATTTACATTCCAAAACATATGAATTCTCAAAACCATTTAAATCATTCCAATGGCAAAACGAATTATAATGGTAGTGGGGATATAACCCTTATTTCAAATGATGCTCACAAAAGATTATCTACTTTAAATTTTAGCAATCATACGCTCCATCCTAATAACACCAAAATAAGTGCTCAATATTCACCACCTATATCAACAAATACAACCTATTGGCCTCAAAAATTAAATGGAGAACAAGTTGGTTTTATGTCAAAAAACTTTTTTTTAAATTAATTCCAAAACTACTTTATTCTCCTAATTTTCCCCTTTACTAATCTAAATCACGTGATGTATCATCTCATTTTGTGTCATTACTAATTTTGAAAATCGCGTTTTTTAAATCAGTTTTATTAGCTCTCTACAATTGATTTTTTTTTAAAAAATAAAAAAATTTGAATAGGATGAAACTACTTTAAAATATTACCAGAATATGGTTAAGGATAAAAAGTATGGCGAAAAGCCTCTCACCAGAATTGAAGAAGAAATGCAAAATTTTAAAAATTCTGAGGTTGATTATTTTCAAATTAATTTTGGGTGGAAAAATAAGAATAATTTGCAAGTAAAAAAAAGTCACTAATCGAATGTTCTAACTATCACCTTAGACATGTTTTTTTACTGTTGGATAGGACATCTTAGTCTTAGAAATTGGTTTTTTCTAAAATCTTGCTGTTAATATCTTTTTTTTCAAGCATGTCTAAGGTTGCTTTTTTTTAAAAATAAATATTGACAACAAACAAAAGGATTGATAGATGCATCTTTAAATTATTTTTTTAGGCCGTTCCTTGAATGTGTGGCGTGATTTCAATGTTTTCATTTAATTCTATTCTTATTGTTATTTTAAGGTTTTTTCTTTTCTACTTACATTTATACTCTCTCTGCATGTTAATAAATATAAATTGCATTTTACTCCATGTTAAAAAAAATGCACCGTTGACTTTCATTATTAAACCAATAGCAAAAATATTAATTAACCCTTGAAATTGTTTTTAACCTACATTTAGTGTTGTTAAATGGCTCACTTTTAGCTTATTTTTTAAAACGGCTAACTTAATATTTTAACCAGAAAAATATTGCATACTAAAGATTTCTCTAATAAATATCCAAATCTTTTTGCCATCATTTGAGCAAAATCTTATAGCTTGCGTAATATTTTTTTGGGTAAAATATTGAGTTAGCCATTTAACTGCTTAAAATCGAGTTTTTTAATAACATTAATCGGTGATAATGAAAAAGTGGTGCAACTCTGATTAGAACTGTATGCGAGATCTTCAGATTAACAACCTATACGGTGAATAACTACAGAACCGTTCTAATCAGTGTTTGTTTTAGATTTTACCTTATCTTAGAGCAGCAAAATTTTTAAAATATATAACCAATTTTTGTGCCTTATTTTCACTTATAAATAATACCATTTTTCTACCTTTTAAAATAATACTAACAATCGTCTTGCTAATTACTCTAATTAGTTATTATAACCCGTACGTTTACCTTCATATTTTAAAATAATAAAATAAGAATCAAGTGCTACCCGGGATTGACACTAAGCAAAAATCTATGCACGGAATATCTTTCCCCTTTACCAACGACCTCAAAATTAGTCTTAACGAGTTCAAATCCGGAGCTATGAATTATATTCGAATGGTAATAACCATATTTATGAATTTTCTAATAATAAAATTGGAAATTTAACACATTTATGTTGACCAGAATCGCATTGTTTACTCAATTTTGCGAAAAGTAAATTTTCAAATTTTGTTATAAAAATTATTATTTTTTGTTATTTATATAAAATTAGGTTATTATACCGCTTTTTTATAATAGTAGTGTAATAGTAAACCCGTAGTACATAAATATATAGCTTGAATTGTTGAAAAAAAAATCAACTGGAAGTTGTAGTATTATCATACTACTTTATATATTAATTGTTATTTATTTATTTTATATATATTTATCTTTGTGACATTGATGCGGCTACAAGTTAATATAATGAAAAATTTATATATATTTAAATTATTTTTTTGCTTTAAAAAAACAAATAATTTTTTCATCCAATAAATTAGTGAGCTAATCCATACTTGATGGAGGATAGTAATGATTAATTTAGTTTCAGCTTATGGATCTCTTTCAATGGCCTTAAAAATTGATGTAAAATAAGTTGTCAAAGCAGATTGATATTCCGCTGTTTATGAATAAATATTAGTTGGTAATACTAATTCTAATCTATCATATGAAGAATAACATCTTTGATTATTTTTCTCATGTATCCAACTGATCAGATCTCTTATATCGTTCAGTCAAATCAGGATCACATCTTTTTTTAGCTTTTGCTAAGAATACATTTGTGGTATCTTTTAACATAATTAATATCCGATTATCCTTCTTTTCTTTATACCATGCACCCAATGATGACTCTCTACAAGGCGGAATCATTAAATTTTGATGAAGCATATCAAAATTTTCTTCACATTGTTTAGATCCTAATTTACTTTTAAGTACATGAGCCTGTTGTAATGATAATCCTTTAATAACATTTACCATCACTCTGGTTCCTAATTTGGGTAATGTAGAGAATAATAGTGAATGGTTGAATTTCTTCACTGCCTTGAATATGTGCTATTACTGATGCTTTTGTATAGTTTCCAAATTCAGATCTTTGAGCCTCTGTTTTGAAACAAGCTTCATGATATAAAATCCCTAAATAGCATACTCAAGGTGCAGTAGCTACCCTAAATCAGGAAGTCTTTGTAAACCTATGTAAGGACAATTTAGTAGATCATCTTCTAATGAAGATACATGTTCAAATTCTATATTCCATATAGACCTAATCCTTTTTTGTGACCAGCAGCTACATTCACTACTATTGCAATAATTCTCATAGAAGTTCCATGATGTTCTTGATAGATTAAACATGCTTGTTCATATAATTGTAGTGTCCAAGCATTCATCTTCCTAGTAGTAGCCAATTCAATGAGAGTTAATGAATCAATGTCTTTAATTGGATTGTATTTTAATTTTTTATCAACAGCTACCATGCCTAACTTGACCAATCTCATCTAGCATGTTGGCCCGATACTCAATATGCAATAATAGCTTCTAATAACAAAGTTTCAGATAAAGGAGGATGAGTAGTGCGTGTAATTGGAGTACGCCGAAAAATTTATTTAGATGTATTTTAGACCCTATTATACCCAGCTAATAATCCAACAGCCATAGTAACCTGGATTTGACTTCTAATTACTTCAGTAGAGAAACTTTCTGGTTAAAACGAAACTCTTATATTTTTAGAGTAATTATTTGCCAAAAAATCTTATAGAAAAAATATCTAATTATAAGTCAATTTTAAATATCTTACAATCTTTTTTTATTATATAAATATCTAATATTTGATTTATTTAAAGATCTTTTTCTAATATTACAACTTGATATAATAATTATAGTACACTATTATTGCTACACAAGAATTTATGGAATATTGTATAAATGATGTATTAGAAACACAAGGTTTTGATCATGTAACTGTCACCCATCCACTTTAGATGATATACGTATTTATCGTTATTTTTTAAATAAAGATCGAATTGTGATTATTACCAAGAAGCAACTGGTGCAGAAATTATTTTATGTCTTATTGAGGGAACATTTATTAATCCTATTAAACCAGCAGAAATCATTATCTTAACAGGATTATTTGATTTAATTCATAAAGATGATCCTACTTTAACCATAAAAAGCTTGACTTCTTATATAATAAGAATTGGTGATCCTGTCTATTTTTAATATATTCATCGCTGGATGAATGTAAATTATTCTATAGTATGGGCAAATCCTATAGAAACATTTAATGAAAATGTATACATTGATCCTTGTAATCCAGAAATTGCACGCTTTTTTCAAACTCCTATATATTATTTAGTAGGAACTCTAGAAGAACTAGTACGAATGATTGCAACAAAAACAGTTCCTACTATTTCAAAATTTATTTCTATCATTAATGGATTATTTTCCAATACCTATGAAAAATTTCGTTATGATTATGTTCTTGCTCCAACTAGGCATTTTTCTACATATTTTGGAGTTCCGCTTCAACCAGATAGTTTCTCTAATGAAATTGTAATTAGAAGTCACTAAGGCGTCTATATGCTAAAAATTAATCAAAATCTAATCGCCTAAAGGTATATTTCAGATATATTAAGAATAAATGAATATGAGGCCCTTAAAAGATGTAAAATTTTAGATAGCCAAAGCGACATCCTTGTTAAGTATAAAGATTAGTTGGCAGGAATATTACGCAATATGGCTTTCAATTTGGTTGAGCAAAATGTTGTTTTCTCTAGACGTGCTATTATTGGGATAACACTATTTAACGGGGATCTTAAAGGGTATGACTTCCGATCAATACCTGATTGGGACCTGTTTAAAAACAACTAATTTCTGTTTTATCCAAATTTAAAGCAAGAACTATCGCCTTGGATTCAATTAAGAAATTAATGGCCTCCAAAACATTAGCACCAGGACTTAGTTCAAGATTGAATTTGGACTTCATATTAGAAACGATGTCATAAATACCTAGGCAAGGGGATCCTATTGTTGAATATACTCCTCAGAATTTAAAACCTTATCCACCAAAACTAAGAAGGAATTCTGACCATAATAGAAATTTATATAGTGGACATAGTCAAGAAATTTTTCAAAAAATTTCTAGAAGGCATGTCTATACAAATTATTTTTAAAATCAACTTTGCATAAAAAATGAATTGGGAGGATAAATTTCAATATAAATTCAAAGGGATTGGGCAACAGCCTCGTTACCCCCTTTGACCCCAAAGTCAAATTGGTAATTATCAAGGTAATTTAAATAATTCATTTATTTATGCAAATAGAAAATAGATATCGACAGGGAAGAAGTAGCTTTTGATCATGCTTCCAAAAATGCCGACGTACATTCTCTACCTAAGCTTATCCCCATATCCAGCCCTAAGTATCATTTATTTCGATACAAACACGTTTTCGAAAATCAAAATCTTCAAGACATAAGTTTAATTTTGAAAATTATAATTTTTATCATTTTAGAATTTACTCTTTGCGACTTGTTATCATATAATGTTCGAGCTAAAATAAGCTTATCAAATTAGCAAACATTTGAAGAACTTTCTGGTCACTCTACTCAGTTTAAATTTTTTTAGTTAAATTAAAATTGTCATTAGATATTGTTATTAATAATACAAGTAATCAATCATATTTTTTGCTAATAATTTTAAAAAATCTTATTCAATTTAAGTTTTCATATATTCGATGCCGGGGCAGAGCAGTTGCTCAATCAAAGAGAAAATGTTATACTCGTCATGTAAACACAAAGTAATCGAAAATTTGAAATACATAACTGGCCTTGAAATATCGAAAACGGTAAAATGTTATATAAATCATATATATTTATTTTAAGTTAGTTAATTACTCGGAGTTTTCTATAGAATAATTAATGCTACAATGTTTTCCTCTCTCACCGTTCATTAATAATATATATTATATTTTTAAAAAAATTAAATATGAAAAAATGGTTAGTTTGAAATCGAAGCGGGAAATGAATTAACTTCCGAATACATTGACTCAGAGCTGCATCCCAAGGCTGTGGAAACGAAGGAAAAATTCTCTAAACCAAAAGGACCATCTTCTAGGGGTCCCCGCAGAATTATAAAAAATATTTGAAAACGAAACAAAAAACATTTTATATATTTCAAAAAAGGACTATTTTGAGCATATTCAAAAACCAAAGCTGATACACATTTTAAAATTATGGTGAGGATGTATAATATAGACATGTCATTATTTTATAATATGGCTCTTTATACATGCACAATTTATTATATTTTTAAAAAAAATTAGAATTAAAGATAACATTAACAGAGCTGAATAATGCATTATTTTTGACGTTATTTTATTAATTTTTATATTTATAAAAAAAAATATTAAACTATTTTTATATAATATTTAAATTGAACACAAATTGTGAATTATTTTTTTACATCAATTTTTTACATTTATTATTTAAAAATTATATAAAGTATCGGAATGTTCTTGACTTATAATATTTTGATAAATTTTTATATTTGATGTAAATTATCAATACCACTCAAAAAGTTTTACTTATTTATATATTGTTAATTAGCAGTTTTGATAATAAATTGAATTGTCATTATTCAATGGTAAAAATAAAAATGTTATAAGGATTTTATTTTCTATATTGAGATGTAGCTGTCTTTGATTAAAATACCTTGCATGCCAAAATAGTTTTAAGGTTTAGGCGAATATATATTATAAGGTATTTGCATCGCCCAAGGTTGTAATTTCTTTCAGCCTAGCACTGATTTAGAAAATCTTAATTAAAAACTAGTATCAACAGATTTATAATATATAAAATTTTAATAAAATCGCCTATCCCATAAATATTTTAAAAAAATCAATTAAATCGTTTTTACATTTAAATCGCGATTTAAAACAAACACTAAAGAGAAGTTACAGATTTAAATTAAAAAACATCTTACATCATAACTTTTTTTAACCTTAGTATAATATTTCTTTATAAGTAAAATGTTAATGCTTCAGAATTTGTGGTAAGGAAATTATTGAAAAATATATGACATGTCAATAGCTAATTTGATATTTTGTCAAATAAAATGCTGACTGTCAATAAAAATTCGTAGATATGTACAAACATCGTTTAGGTAGATTAGTTTTCTTTTAATACCAATATCGGGTATATGAAAAGTTGCAATGCACTATCAAAGTTAGGTATACAAAATCGATTTTAATTTTAGCATCTAGATTTTGAAAGATATGATAATTTTCTTGTAAAATTTAAAAAACAAATAGAATATTTTATTTGTATTATTCTTATTATAATTATAAATTTATATTTATGTAAAATAAATTTTTAAAAACTCATTTTCTGTTATTTTTACTAAATTTTATGTCCCTAATATTTTGGAATGCAAACCCTGAATTCGAACAGCTCCGAAGAACCTTTTTTAGAATGAGAGTTCACAGCCTTGAATAACAAACTAATTATTTTTTTTAGAATATTGAATAATTTCTCGCTACATTGAGATTAGAATTATACAATTATGTCAAAAATCAAGACAATGAAATACAAAATAAATAAAATATTTTCTTTATCTATTAGTATTTTTCGGTTAATGATGCTTACTACCAAGTGAATGTATGGAAATATTCTAAATACCAACCTAATTTGCTAAATACCGACCAAAATTTATTAAAATGTAATAAGACCCTTATTATTTAATATATTAATACGGAATCACTTGGTCGAGTCCGGCCTCCTATATATTATCCCCCCAAGGATGGAACCACCAAGTTAGACTAAGAAAAAAACATGACCATTCCCGGGATTCGAACACGGGACCATGGGATAAGTAAGCCAAGCTCTTGCCTACTAGGCCATAGAGGCTTTCCAAAAATCACTATTTTTCAAATATATTTGGTAGCTATCCAAATGAAAAATAAACAAAATTCAAATTTGATAGGTAGTACCTTAAGGTAGTAAGCATCATTAACCTATTTTTCATACAAAAATTACTTGATTCTAAAATAATCTAAATCTTTGTCTTTCCTTATATTAAGAATTTTGATCAAATAGTAAATAGAATTTTATTTAAATTATTGATTTAAATCAAATTAACTTATTATTTGCCAACCCTAATATCTTGGCACATAGTTTATGATGACGCGGAAATTTAAAATGGCTTGGCAATACTGGCAAGCCTTAACTAAAATTTTACTAGGTAAGGAAAGCTGAAGTTTGTTTTTTTTGAAAATTTACATATTTCGTATATCTTAGGATTAAATTTTTTATATACAAGCCTAATAATACTAATTAAATATATTTTATATGAATTAAGGAATATTCAAAACATTATATCGTCGTCTGCAAATTAAATTATTCCATATCTACTTTTTGTTAAAAATGACTTTTTTTTACATATATCATTTTTTTTATTATACTAATTTATATTAAAAAAATTCGAAATATTTATAAAATAAGTTAAATTTAGAGCTAATATAAGGTTATACCATAATATAGAAAATAATAAAAATTAAATTTTTAATTGCTCTGTAAAATTACAAAAAGTGAGGATAGATGATCTAATTCCGAGGCTTCATAAGTAAATCTAAATGACAAAATTGTAAATGCTTAATTTAAGTAATATTATAGTCTCATTTTTTTATTATAATTTACTTTTAATTAGGGACGATAACCCAAACCCTCAATATTTCGCTGAACCCAAAACCTTTTTTAAAATGTAGGGTTCAAAGCTTTATTTTTTAATTTTAATAAATTTATATAATAATTTTAAAAAACATATTTTTTGATCATTTTTGTTATATTTAGTAATTTTTTAAATTGTATTGTAGTATTATAATTATGATGATAAATTATTTTTATGGTGATACTAATTAAAAAAAATTTTTTTTTTTTAAATTATGTTTCTTGTTATATTTTAACTAATTTTAATAAGTCATTATTTTTCTGGTCTCCGAACCCTGAACCCGAACCAGGTTCAGAGATTTTTCACTGAACCCAAACCCGAACCCATTTTTTTAAAAGGAGGGTTCTCGTCCCTGCTTTTAATATTGGTAAAACGATTTTTTTATAAAGTCACGACTTTGAATAATTCTAACATATATAAAATCTAATAAGATCTAGTTTTTGTTTTAAGATTGCCCTTGAATTCTCGTTGTGAGATTAAAATTTATTCCTATCATCCTTAGTATCCCTTCTTTATCCTTAGTCGCCGACTGCTCAACATTAACATAACAGGTCACCTACCTTCGTACCAATAAGTCACAAAAAAAAACCTTTTCCTGTATTCAACAGATTTCCAACTCTAACCCATTCCCAAAATTTCTTATAATACACCATTTCTTTCCAACTAATTCCCATCTGCATATATCCATAATATTCAGTGTAATCAGGAATGTTTCAATCTCTCAAGTTCTTTATATTACGCAGAAGAGACTCGTCATGGAACATTGTACTTATTTGTAAACCCAGCTACTTATTACAGTATAAATATCAGTATTGGCAAAATAAATCCTTTAAAAAAATTTGTGAAATCAATAAATCATTTACTATTTAATTAAATATATTTTTATCAATAAAAAAGATAAATGCATAAAATTATATGATGCGAATATTTTTAAAAAAGTCAACGAAATATAATAATTTTCCACACAAATTTAAATCAATTACAATAACCAATGATTTCATTCTTTAGACTGCAGCAGCCCCAGAGATTATCTCTATCAATTCCCGAGTAATGACAGCTTGTCGTGTCCTGTTGAAGGTCATAGTCAATCTAGATATCATATCACCTTAAAAAAATAGAAATAAATATAGTCAAACTATTATAAGTCGGGGACGGATTGGCCATTAAGCCTATGATGGAAAATGACTGCATATATATTGGAAATAAATTTAAGTTAACAGTCTAAATCCCTTATGCAAATAACCCATAAAACTAAAAAATTGAGTAGTGTATTCTAATCAGATCAAGCGAATTTTGGATTAACAATTCAATTTAAACTATGAAAAGGTTTTATATCACCGATTCCACACAAAATAAAAGAAAAATTAAATAGATGGATCATCTCAAATTTGTAGTAAATATTTTTTGACAAATAATTTACGATACTTTATAATTGTAATTTTTGACATAAAAAGGTTTTTTAGTTAGTATAGCCATTTTCATTCTTTCCTCAATATTATTCCCACCGTTATGATCTTAATTTGATACCACTTATAAAATATTAAATTTAAGTATAATGAGAAGAGCATTTATATGGAACTAAATATTAAAATTAAATAAATTCTTAATCATTATATTTTATTTAAATTTAAAACATGAACTAATCCAATAAAAGATAAAATTATATGTTTTTATTTATAAAATCATTAGTTAAGGTGTTTAAAAAATTTAAAAAGATGGAGGCGCAATCAGGGCAACGCTCCTCTTTATTAAAATTGCTAATTCATATATGTTGAATTCCATGACAATTCAACATGAGTTTCAATCCGCCCACCTCAGATTTATTTAAAACTTTTACTAGTTTGCATATATTTAACAACTAAGAAAAAAATAAAATTTTGTTTTGGCAAAATACGTTTCTTTTAATTATAGATATCAATAATCTAGAGGCATCATTTAAATGTCAAAAACCGAAAGTGATCAAAAAATCAAATCAGTATTTTTTTATCTCTCAAATTTTTATATTTATAACAATAGGATTAATTAATAATGCAAAATTTCAAATCAGACCGAGCTCAGGTTAAAGAGATGTGGCATTTTTTCATTAGTCAATAGTAAAAATTCTTAATAAATCATTAGTTGTAAAATATTTAGGAGCTTTAAAATATTTTATTATTATATAAATTTGAATGAAAGATTGGAAAAAGTGTGGAGGGGGTGGGGGGGTCTATTGTTAATTTATGTAATATATTTACTTCGTTCCCAAAATTCTGATTTTTTTATATAAAGTATAGATTACAATCTATTTAATTTGGATAACCATAGAGTTTGAAACCTAGGAAATAAACTTCCTTAGATGATTAACCAAAATAAATCAATATAATTAACGATAAAATTTGCAATATCTGTCCTAAATACATGCTTCAACCAGTATCACATTTCTTTAAACATTCAATGCTTCTCTTGAACATCTAAATGATTCATTGCCATTGATGGGCGAGACATCAAATATGAAGAAACGAGTAAGGAAAAAAAGATACTCTATTTTTTTTTAAATTGAAAATTGAGGAAAAAAATAGGAAAGATGTTTTGAAAACTTCTTTAGAGAGATAATTATAATATTAACGATGAATTTGAAATAAAGAATTGAAAAAAACACATTCTCGAAATAAAAAACAATTATGAAAGCTTTACCAAATTCGGACTCTAAAAACAATTTTCTGACTGAATTCATGGCTAGGATCGCAAAAAAATTGATTAAGGAAATGGGTGCTTTATGCAATCCAAATATTATAAATTGAGAGTTTTTTAGATTGTATTATAGATGTTATTGGAACTTTTATAATTTCGACAGTCGTACACTACCTGATAAACCCCATTTTATATCAATAAAGCATAAAGGAGAAAAGTGTCAATTGAAGAAAAGCTCATCACTCTTAAAGAATTATATATTTATTATAAAGAAACTCATATTAATATAAAAATAAAATTTAAAAAATTGCATATTTAAGACCAAATTTTTTAATTTAGGAATGGGGATCTAAAAGTCAATAGTCCGGTTTTTTTAAATCAAAATTTTAAAAAAAGTTTTTTTTTCTGATAGTGCAGTAATTACCAAAAGGTTAGCGGAAAGAACTAGCCAAAAGTTATAATCTAAACTATCATAAACGATTTTGTAATCAAAGCGGAATGACATTTCGCAATAGTCCAGGGCAAACATTACTAAATAGTTAGCGGAAAGAGCTAGCCTTCAGCATCCATATGAGAATCAAATATTAAGCATCTTAGATTTATTTAATTTTTGTAGAGCAAATATTGCAATTAATTCGTATATGGATGATGGATATGAAAAAATTATTTCTCCCAATACCAAACCCCATTCAAGGAATACAAGTTTCATACGTTTGTGGGAAAATTAAATTAAAGATAAATAATATTCATATTGTGAAAATTATTCAATTTACAATATATAAATGTTAAATTTTTTATAAATTAAATTTTATAAAATTATACCATAAATTGATTTCTATTTTATAGTTATTTTTATGAGAGATATATTTATTTCATCAAATAAATTAATCAACGCCCCCCCCCCAAAAACCTCCCCAGAGATCTTAAAAAACTTTCTTAAATATACATGATTTATATTACAATTATTGATTAATATAAAATATTTATACAGAATATTTGCAATAGAATAATGATTAAAATGCCATATCCTAAACTTGAGCTCGGCCTAACTTGAATATTCATTTACTAATTTACCAAATATCCATATATAAAAAAATCCGATTTGATTTTATGATCATTTTCGCTTTTTTATATCTGGTTTTTGACATTTAAAATTTAATACTATATAACTTTAAATGCTACGGGTTTTACAAAATAATTTAAATGGCGCTTTTAGCTTAATTATAACTAAAGATATCTAAAATTAAAGGGAGTCCATTTTTCCCCAGATGCCCCATTTTTTCAACCGCCCCTGTGTGGAGTTGGAGACTAAAAAATCTGAATAGGTCGGGTTAAAATGGTGTTTTTTTGTTAATTTGTCGTGGAATTCACCATTAATATCCATCTTTTTGCCCATTAGGGTTAATCGGGATATAAAACATAAGTGTGGGATGGCGGACAGTAAAAAACAAGTACAATTTAACAAAAGGAGGAAATTATAAAATGATTTTAATAATGAAAAATTTGCAATATATTATGGTTTTTTTCCCCATCGCTAGTTAAAACGCTTTCCCAAAATATTCAATTTCCTAAATAGAATAATATCAAGATCAACAATTTAATAATCGAGCTCTCCCTAGATTTCTCACTCTTTCCTTTGACTTCCCTTTTAATTTTTTGCATTCTTTTTCCTCCTACAATACATATTATTACCCGCATTTTTGGAAGCGTTATCCATAGCCGTCATCCTACTGCTCTGCTCACTAACAGCGTTTTCCTTCATAGCATAATAGAGGCAGCTAGCTAACTGGGCTTGTTGGTGGTCTTTGAGGGTTAGGCCATCTAAATCATCGTAGGAGTGAATTATGGGGCTGTTGGCAACGGCATCTACGCTCAATAAATTGGTTTTGGTAGATTTGTAGGAAACAACTGATCTAAAATTAAATAAAGAGATTGTTGTGAACAACGATTTTCGATGGTTGTCTTATAAAAAATATGATTCAAAAATCTGTCATCTCATTAAATAGTGATGAGCTTGATCGTATTTCACATACAAAACAACTCTATAAATTTATTTTCTATTTTCTTGCATGGCTTTCCAATATTTAAAAATAAAAATATATAATAAATTAAAAAACTTTAATGATAAAAGTATGTTTTTTTTTATCCAAAAATAAAAAGAGGTCCAAAACATTTTTTCTAGACAATTTTGAAAGTTTCAAAAATTTTAGTTACGATTTTATTAAAGTTTTAAACTTGCTAATAATTTGGGAAGAGATTGTTTTCTGTATATTTATTCATTAACTTGATAATAGCATATGAGAAGTGGGTGAAAGTATATCATATAATTTACATCATCAAAGTCTCAAAAAATGATTATAAAAAATGAATGTCCTATTACAAAAAAATTAGCTATATATTTGTTAATTGATACTAATCAATCATCAAGTTAAGCAAAACAAAAATAAAATGCTCTTCGTTTAAAATTAAATTTAACTCAAGTTATAAACAAAACTAAAATAATTTAAATCATACGTAAGGCATAAAACTAAAATATATTTATATAAAACACAATACATATTTTTGCTTTAATAAACTATAATCTAAAGATATTCTCTAACTTTTTTTTGGTAAATTTTTATTTAAACAATATTGATATTGGTATAATTTTTTTAAAAAATGATAAAACTGATAAAGTTTTTAAAAAATATATGTAGACTGTGAAAAATTGCCGTTAGTTGACATGACTATTGGCTGAAATTGTTATTCTCCGTTTTTCAAAAAAATCTTAGATAAATATGAAATACTACTAGCCATTTTGGAAATAGAAATATCATCTATCATACCCAATGGACGCCTTTTACTCAATTTTGGAAGTATAATTATTTAAAAAATAGCTTGCCAGAGTTATTTATCTAGGCGAATTATTATTAAAAGTGGGAAAGAGGAAAATATAAATATCAAATAGTGAAAGTTGATCTGCATACAATCGAAGAAGACTAAAACCTGGTTGATATTTATTGAATGCAACAATTATGGTATTTAAAAAAGATAAGTATATTTAATTTTATAAATATTTGTATGGGAAAATGCCTTTAATGCATTTACGGTTTTATTCGCAAAACAATAGTTAGTACATAGTATTGAATATGTCAATCAAACATTAAATACAGTGTTGACAAGATTTGATGGAAATTTCCATATTTTTTAATTTATTTGAAAATAAAATTATGACTTGCAAAAAATTGTTAAAATAACATATTTATATATTCTGATCTTATCTTATCTAGCACGTTGGTCATAGACCTGCCCAAAATGAGCGAACGTGAATTTTATGAAGGCCCACCCTTCATAAAATTGTGTCGATTTTTTTTCTCAAGGATACCAACAAACCTTGTACCCAGTTGTAGTTTAACTAAATAAGTGGAACTTACCCTTTCCGATATTGTAATAGTAATTTAATAAATATTATTATAAAGAAATATAAATCTTATCTGTTTTAGTCTTGAATAACCATATTAAAGAGTGAGTTAAAAATATTTGAATCCATAGACATCAAAATTCCATTTCATTTGTTAAGTCATATTCTTCCAAAAATTACATGTTAAATAATTTTATTTACAAACAAATTAAAAAATATGGAAATGTTTTCCATTAAATCTGAACAAAACTTTATATCCCCATAATTAATTACAAATAATTTTTAAAGATTTTAAAATTATAATTCTTCAATCAGGCGTTTGGTCGGATGACGCAGGCGCTATGATAGATTCCAGAAAGGTAAGAATATATTATTGAGGTTCGGCCTTTGCCGAATATGTTCAGTCAGTGATCTTTCCATTTCGACAGTTGATTATATCTCATTCGGGTACTATGTAACCCTCTCCTGTTTCCTTTTCTGGACCTACAATTTCCCCCCACCCTTCATCGTAATTGGTGGTCAGCATGTTTCCATATGATTCTAGACCAAAATTCTGCCTCGTAAGAATAAAATTCATTCATCTTTACAATGAACCCTTCTCTTTATCTAGGATTTCTGCCATTTCTTATCCAAATCGGTAGTCCTATTTGGAATTCGCGTTGCCTTGTATTTCTATAACGGTACTCTCGCCTTTTCTTGTACACTCTTCTATCTCTTTTATTAGGTTTATAACATTCTAAACTAATCTAAATTATAAATTCCTTCCTAACCTGGCAAGATTACTTATAATACTTTTTTTGGCTCATTTATGGTCTCTCTTGATAAGTAATATTTTCTTTTAGCGTGAGTTCAGCATGCCCTTAGATTTTGGATGGTTGGCATTACATGGTCAGTTCAATATTTTCTTGTTTGCAGAAATTAATAAAATCCAAATCAATTGTATGTCATAAACCAGCTTTCTAGGAGTTCCAAATCCTGCAAACAAACTATTTAAAATTTTAATTAAATATTCAGCTGTCGTTGATTTAAACAACCCAACTTCTATTCATTTGGAAAATGAATCCACCCCTACTAACCAATAAAATGAATTAACAGGTCCTACAAAAATGATAGGTATCCACTTGTAAGAATTTTCTGGAATATCCCTAAGAGTGTAGCTGCATTTCTCCAATCCCTGATTGAGTTGTTTGACATCCTAGACACTGATTAACATAGTTCTCCTCATCGCAGTATCAATTTGGCAAAACCCGGAGTATTGACTTAATGTTCTTCAATCCTGGGTGACCCCTATGGTATTTCAAAAATTATATCCGTAAGGAATGTCTAATAACTATTATACTATCCCATTTTAAGTAAACGCCATACCACCCAAGATCTAACCGTTATCTAAGGATAATTCATTCTGCCTTCTTGCAAAAAGTTGTAGCGAATTATTTTCAAATCCCATCCTCATAACCAATAATGCATTTAAGGGTTTATTCACAAAACATGTTAGTACATTTCAATCACTCAAAAACATATATAACAGGCATTTATATGACCGTATAAGAACTTTAAGAATGTGTTAATTCATTAAAATTCGATTAAATGCTTATAATAAATGGCAATATAGAAATAAAAATGTTTTAATCCCCTTTTTAAATTATTATGCAGCCATGTCGAGTTCCCATTTTGAAAAAATTAATTTAATAAACATGATTTTACAGGCCATACATGATGATTATACATAATATGACATAATGAATTAGAACTAGGTAAGTATATACTCTTTTTTTTAAAAAAAAACTTTCTCTTAACATATTTACATATTTTTCTTACCTATTATTCCCTTCAAAATTTCATAATAATTTAAATGTTTTTTAAGAAATAAAAATATTTCACACTAAATCAAGCTTACTTGAACACATTATAGTACATGTTGCAAGTGTCGAATTCATATCCGGATTCCAATAAATTTTGAACTATAAAAGATGCGTCAGCAAATGTGGCAGAGGTTTTCCCAACATTGCTAAAGGTTAGCAGAATGTGTTTGGCGAACAATCTTTATAAAAAAAATTAAAAAAATTTTTTACAAATTTTTTAAAAATCAAAAGGACTGTCTAATTTGAATCAATATATATAAGCTATAATTTAAGCTAATGAGCACTTTTACTACTAACATTTGATTTTATAGGGAGATTTTTAATATTTTGACTTTAAAAAATATCGACGTCCAAGAACGAAATGAACAGTTAATCCTAAACGAATAGTAATGACCTGATACCGGTTGCACAGTAAAACTTATTTTATAAATTAAATTATTTTAATTTTAGGATTAAGACATTTTTTAAAAAATAGTTTTCACGCTGTAAATGATATCTTGAACATCGTTTTTCTTAAAACCAAGTCAAAATTACTAATTTGAACTTCATCTTATAATTAATTTTTTTATCAAATTGAGAATCTTAGGATTTTGTTTCTTCTATTTCTCTACTTTTTCCTCCAAAGGTTCCTATCTACTTCAAAATTTTAAATTTTAAAAAGATCATCTTCATTGAAACCACTAAATATTAAAATTAAATATATTTTTAAACATTTTTATTTACTACACAGATTATGTATTAGTTATATTTGAAACAGGATAAATATTAAAATTAAATATATTTTTAAACATTTTTATTTACTACACAGATTATATATTAGTTATATTTGAAACAGGAATTAAATTCATATGGCCTTTATTATTTTTTTAATTTATCAATGTTAAAAAAATAAAAAGGATAAAAATTTTTGTTTTTCAGAGGCATGGGCCTAAAAAAAAATTTTTATACCCGGGCCGGGCCGTATATTTAAATCATATTTTAAATTGCCATTATTACAAAAATTAAAAATAAAGAATATATTTTTAAAAAATATGGGCCGGACTGTGCAAATGATACCTGTGCGGGTCTCTGATGTTTTTAAGGCTATAAAATTATGAATCTAGATGATTAGAAGTAAAACTAAATAAATAAGATATCAATCCATGTTCTATTTAATATTCTTTTTTTAAATTAGTACGCCTCCTGATATGGCTAAGAGTATATGGTATCCATATGATTTTAAAAATATTTTTGGAAATTTTAAAAAATAAACTTTTACGTTATAACAAAAATAAAAAAATTATCAGCAGCTTTCTTTCGCGCCAGAAAGGGTTAAATAAAAACCTTTAACCTTTGCAATATGCCCTTGGCTTTATCTCCCACTATAACTAGCTTTGTTTCGGTATCGGGAGATTTTTTTTCGATTTCCTCGTATAAATCATGACGGATCATTTTGCAAATGGAGGAATGAACAGCCCCACATAGGCCTCTATCGGAAGAGAGGGCGATTATCAAATGCTTTTTGCCCGTGGGGAGGCTTGATACGGTTTCAGTTGATTTCTTGGCCGAGTCACCTTGCATACTTTCGTAAAAGGCTTTGAGTTATAATAAACAAAATAAATAAATAATACAATTTAAAGATTTAACGGTAGATTCTTTCGATTTCCGTAAAAGTACTGATGAAAGCAATTCAAGAAGAGTATTATTCCTGACAATTTATTATAGATTAGAGAAATAAAATTTTAAACCAAAAATTTCAAAAAAGTTTTAAAAAAATTTTGTGGTTATTTTTGGTTACCAAGTTATTTGCTCTTAAGAAGATTAACTATTAAGACGATTTCAAAATCATCTACATCATACGCATATTATTTTGAACCCCTCATCTAAAAAAATATGCCACATACCTTAATAAATATTTTCCTTGAAGTGATAAGAGATAACTATGATACAGGGTCATTATTTTAAATCACACACCTTACAACCCACACATTTCGATTTTAGTAAAAAAATTGTAGGTTTAGTTAAGTCAAAAACGAAATGTTAGCTCTAGCTTTTATATATCCTGTTTTCTTGCTAATCACATTATTTGTTATATATATATATCTTAATAAATGTGTAAATTAAATATATTATTCATTATGTTAAGAAAGGCTAGTTAAGGTGGGGTGAAAAATTAAAATTTCCTCATGATGGCCATCTTATGGCCAGGCCTGTTGAAAATTTTACATTGCTTTTTTAAGGACTTATTGTTCTTCGATTCTTTTTAATTTTTTTCTATCTTTTGCTTCAGTGGCGTACCACCTCCCCCCCCCCCTATTAATCCCTTGGAAAATATGATTAGGTAAAATTTTCGTTTTCATACTGCTTTAATATTGATATCTAAGAAAATTTGCTCCCATTTCTATTAAATTGTTAAACCCCCACCTATATTTCCTAATTCTCTATAAATTATCTCTGAAATTTATTCTTCTAATTAAAAAAAGTGTGCGATAATTCCTAAAATTCTCTGAAACAATGCTAATTTTAAAAAGATTAAAAAACAGGACGGTTCCAAGAAAGCTATAATTCTTATAGGATAGGCGTTTACTTTATCTATTTTCAATTGTAACATCCTTCAATATTAGCGCTAGAGAGTAAAAATAATCGTTTCAATTTCATCTCCATCCATAATCTATTCGACTACCTTTTTATACGACCAATATTAAATTAATAAAGGTATCAAAGGTACAACCAGGGACATCGAGTCTCAGAATTTAAATTATGCGAAAAAGTAGATTTTTTTATAATTAATTGTTATATAGAGAAAATTGGTGTAATTGGAGATTTAGGTATTCAACACATCCTTTATCAAATCAATTTAAATATGTTTTAATAAATCAATTAGTAAATGATTAATCATTTTTCCGCAAAGTAATTTAAACTAGTGATCTGCATCGGGCGTAATTTTTCTAGCCCAGCCCGAAATTTCTTTAAAAAAGTTTTGCCGGACCGGCCCGAAATTTATTTATAAAAATTTGCAGGCCCGACCCTAACCTGAAATTTTTTTAAAAATTTACCGACCCGGCCCGGCTTGAATTTATTTAAATATAGAAATTAATTTTTATAATTACTCAAAATAAAAGAGATATGTTATATGTCGTTTCGTTTCAATAAATAAAATCAAATATTTTTATTTTACATAAAAAATTGATAAATTTAGATATATTTAAAAATAATTCCATGGTCCGACCCGACCCGGTAGAATTTTTTTTAAAAATATTAGGCCCGGCCCGAACCCGATTATTTTAAATATAATTCGGGCCGGGCCGAACTCGGGTCGTGTACGGGCCGGGCCTAAACGATGATATAAACTGAATTTTAGTTAAGCAAAAACTAAATATAAATATAAATCGTGTCAATATTTTTGTTTGGCGTAAGACATTAAAACTAAAATAAATATCATTAAAATGAAACTTAAAATAAATATATATAACATTCACTCCTTTGTTTTATTCAAGTAGGTAGGAGGTTTGCTAAATTCAGTTTTCGATTGTTGTCCTGTTTACCCATCTTGTTGTTTATCGCCATCATCATCTCGTTTAATTGTTTTCGTTATCATTTGATCATGGTAATAGTTATCATTATTATTTTAAATTTATATCGTGTAGAATAATTGGAATAAGAATAAATTGGAATAATTGATATGGTATGATAAGATATAAATAACGGTATTAGGAATAAAATTAAGAACATAGAATAATATCCACAACTATGATAAATCATAATTCATTGTTATAGATCAAACTAACATTAAATTTTCTTTTTAAAATGTTTTAATAGTTTTTGCACTATTAATGAAATGTATTATTTATTACGTATTTTTCTAAATATTTTTATTTGCTGTAACATTCATTATTATTAACCAATACCTTTGATAGAATGGACCTGCGTAGTCGATATGTATTCTCGAAATGTTGTGACGTTGGACCCATAAATGCTGTATGGCTTTCGGATTATCTGCCCAGATGCTGCATAATTCGCAATTTTTGACATTCATTCTGCGTTCATTCCAGGCCACCATATCTAATCCTTTACCAGTGCTTTAGCTTTACATGCTCCCAAATGTCCAGCATGTAAATCTTGTAGTATTGTTTTTTTTAGGTTTTTTGGAATAGCTATTTGATTTGATTTGAAAAGGCAATCTTTGACTATACCTGATTCATTTTCTATTTTTTCGAATTCTTTAAATATGAGTTCAATTTTTTATTATGTCGCCTCTCCTTGTATTGTCCATGACTTCCGAAATATGTTTATCACGCGAAGTTTCTGCTGCCATTTTCTCATATTTCAATAGTTGCAATGGTTTATCATTATAGTTATTATCAACGTTCCTTACTACTTTCTGTAAAATACCATTAAACGCATTATGCCATTCCCTATCAAGCAATGCGATTTTTGTAATCTCCACAATGTAGGCTTCCAAGTTTTTTATTGTGCTTTCATAGTTTACGTTAATGTGTGAAATGCCAAGAACCTTTATCAAGTTCAGAACAACATGTTAATTTGATGTATTATTTCTTTATGCTTGTGCTAGTATCTACTTGCACTGTCGTAGCTAAATTAAGTTTAAGTGCCATTTTGTATACTCTATTCTCCTTGTAATTAAGATCTTCTTCCAAGCTATTTATACTTCTGTTTAGCAAATCGTAATCTTTTTATGTCGTCACTTTTGTCACTTTCTAATTCTGGTTTATCTTGCTATCATTTTGTGTATAATTCCTGTTATTTTAATTAGTAAATTTATTGTAGTATTGTTGATTCATGTTTTGTCTATATTGTAAGTTGTTTTGATTTCTATATGTAATATTATTATTATAAACAATTCCCTCCTTTACCAGCAAATTGTTTGAGAAATTTTGTATGACCATAGCATATAGCATGTTTTAACGTCAGCAATGGGGTGGAAAGGATGGTTAGAACGTTCAAGTTGAGTATGAAACGTAACATGAAAAAAAAGAATACAAAGGTAGATATAGCGTTAGAGAAGTTTTTATTTATAAACAGAAAAATACCTAATATAATCACGGGCATCCCGCCTAGTAAATTGATATTCACTTATGCGACTAGGACTAAATGGGTTTTTTTGACGCTTATACTTATTAATGATAATGATAATAAAGTCAACACCACGATTTCTCCAAATAAGACCATTAACTTTGGGGGAGAAATATGGTAAAAAGTTAATGGTCCTTTAAATGAAGACCACATAAGACGGCATCTGTATCAAATAAAGAAAAGGTCAGCTTTAAAAACACGAGCAACGTCAATGTTGAACAGGAAGACTTATATACTAAAATTTTCTTCAAAGGGGGAAAAGCCAGTGTGACTACGCCGACACCGAGACCGGTGAGAACAGTAAACAAACCTAAACGGTTCAAAGATTACATCATGTTTGTAGACGAGACATTGAAAAATTTTCAGTATATAAAGTATTTAAAAAAATACTACATTTCATTAAAAGTGCATAAACTAAACAATTTTTTTATAAAAATAAGTTTAAAGTTTGATCTATAACAATGAATTATGATTTTTCACACTTCAAATACTGTGGATATTATTCTATATTCTTAATTTTATTCCTAATACCTTATCATATCAATTATTCCAATTTATTCTTGTTGCAATTATTCTACTCGCTAGTGTTGTTAAACGACTCTATTTGGACCCCTTTTTAAAAATGGCTAACTCAATATTTTAACCAGAAAATATTGACTAAGCCTTGAGATTTGACTATAATATTTTTCTGAATAAAATATTGAGTTAGCCGTTTTTAAAAATCGGCTTAAATCGAAATTTAAAATAATAAAGATAAGTATTTCCATAATCAAATGATAACGAAAACAATCAAACGAGATTATGATGACAAGTTGATGATGGCGATAAACAACAAGATGGACAACAATCGAAAAGCTTAACTTAGAAGACCTCCACTTGAATAGAACAAAGGAGGGAATGTTATATATATTTATTTTAAGTTTTATTTTATAATATTAATTTAGTTTTAAAGTTTGTCTTACGGTAAACAAAAATATCTTCGATTTATATTTATATTTAATTTTTGAAAATTCAGTTTATATCATCGTTTAAACTACTTTGCGATACTTAAAATGATTGATTATTTACTTATTGATATATTAAACATATTTAAATTATTGACAAAAGGAGATATATAAAGATAGTCATCTATTGTTTATAAAAAAATTATATATATATTTTGAAATAATTAATAAAGGATGTGATAAATACATCATATTAATATTCCTTTAATGCTTCCAGATTTCGTTCTATCTTGAATCTTGATATGTTATAGTAATTTTAGATTTTGCTAATAATTTTTTTAAAATACTACTTGCTAGACGAATTGAAATATAAGCAAAAATTTTAATAATCAAAGATATTTTGAATAATAATAGGAAGCTTTAATGTATTAACATGTAATCAATTTTTGAATCGCAGTTAAAAATCCGATAATTAGCTTAACGAGTTTCGTTATTTTTATTTCACTTATACCATGTTTTTATTTATTGACTTGTAAAAAAACTGATCGATAAATTAGTAATTACTAATCAAGTATCATATATTAGCTCACATATTAAGTACTTCTATAATATTCCTACGCATGATGGCAATTTATTTTTACTTACTTAAACTATATATCAAACAGGTTGAAGAACCAAAATTTACGAAATATCAGAGCTGTTAAAGTATCTAGATAAAAATGTGGTATCAGTCATGTAGTTAGATACAATTCAAAGTATCGATATCTATATTCTATTTTAGAAATATCTGCATCTGAAATTAGAATACTTGAATGCAAAATTTATGTCATTTTATATGAGCATATATATAATTTAAAAAATATATATAAAAATAGTAAGACTAATATAATAAAAAAAATATATAAATTCACTAAATATTATGTCCAAGTTTATTAATAAATCAGACAAATCTTGATATTATAATCCAACTTAAGGAATCTGCGATTTTTATTTTCAATGGAATTGGTTAATTTTATTTTTAAATCATCAGTAAATTTAGACATTGTTTTACCATGGCCAATTTATAAAGCATATTTTAAAATATAATCTCAAAATAAAGCAAATGGATCTCTGATAATAAAATGTTCGCCTTGTCTACCAAAAAACACTCAAATTTCAGTTTGAATTACCTAAACTTGCAACATTGTAAAACTCTTAAGGGTATAAAATAAATACCAATTAAATATTTACAATTGTGATTTTTATTTTGAGAAAACATAAATTTTTTTAAAATGTAAATATAAAAAGGAAAGAATAAAATAAAATAAAATCTAATACAGAAAATATTGGACTAGGTTCCTCATCAACCACTGATATTTTTGTCAAGAAATCTCATAATATAAACCAAACCATTTTATTTAATTTAATAACTACTTTATTATAAATGACATTCAGCCATTCTCAATTGTTGGAAATTCTTCTTTTATAAATATGGTCACAACATTAGCTCCTCGAAAAAAATATAATTTACTGACAAACAGTGGTTGAATTTCTCAAAGATGGGGAAAAGAAAAAAAATTATAAAAAATCTTAGAGGTTGCTAAAATGCCTATCGCCAATAATATATAGCATTTTAAATTTGTATAATAATTAAAAACAAATTATTTAGCGGTTTTAAAAATGTTAATTTTCAGGTTATACATAGGAGTCATTTCACATTACATAGACCCTACAAGTTTGGAAAGAAAAAATGTAGCATTGGCCTGTAAAAAAATGGCTGGTAGCCATACAAATGATGAAATATCAAGGTCTTTATAAGATATAGCAATGAATTATTGCATAAATAAAAATTCAAAATTTTGTAAAAGCAATTAGGTATTATATTAGATGATAAATATAAATTGTATTGCTAAAAAATATTCAAGAATAAATTCACATTCATTAGACATAAATCTGGGGAATGTTTGATCATGTAACTCGTGTAATTTGTATGATTTAAATTTCTGACATCAATTGCTATGGATTAAATGTCGAGTTCCATTGGGTCATATCAAGACATATAAAAAAAAGACCTATATTTTGTAAAATAATTTCAGAAGAAATTGTAGATTTGCTTTGTCTAATCCAAAATATTTTAACATTTGCTTAAAGTTGTGCAATATACCTAATGAATAAAATATCATAATTAAGTTTAACCTTCTGATATTTTTTTTACACTGGGTGGTTATATTAACGTAAACAGTGGCAACAACATTCAATGTATGACTAGCACAACATTGATGATTTGGTACATTATATCATTCTGATATTACAAAATCTTAAGCAGGAGTATATAGATTTGTATTTGTACAACAGGTTCTTCATCTTCCAGATCATCTATTCCACTAGTATTTTGGCTTGAAAATTCTCTAATAAATAAGTAATCATATATTATGTTTATACTCATAAAAAATATAATATCCAAATGCTTTTATAAAATTTTGGCATTAATTGTAATGGTCTTTGAAATTTTATTTTGTATGCAATAATCCTTTGTTATATCTTGTAAAGATCTTTAATTTTATCTCAGACATTCTTTTACAGGTTTTTCAAACTTGTTGGGTTTATGTAGTGTACAGTGACACTTCTATGTGTGAACTAAAAAAAATAATATTTCTTCTTAAATAATTTGGACATTTATTATACTAATTAAAATGTTATCTATACTGGTGATAGCCATTCCAACAATGCTGTGCATATTAGCGCTGATCTATAAGTCATTTTATGATTTCTTTCTTTTCTTTTTCCCATCTTTGGGAAATCTATCAACCACTGTCTATTGACAAATTATATTTTTTTGATGAGCTACTTTTGATCATTTTTATAAAAGAAGAATTTTCAAAAACTGAGAATGGCTGAATGTATTCTATAATAAAAGTAGTTATTAATCATCTAAAATGGTTTCCAATTGTCCAGCTAACATTAAGGAGATAATATAGATATTACATAATTCATAAATCAAAATAAAATTACTCACAAGAAAATCAATAATATCTAATGATAATCTTTTATATGAGGGGCCTTGCCAAATAAGTTTGAGCAAGTAGTCCATAATAATTCATAACCATACACCTCCCTCAGAAAAAAATTGGTTATGTCACAGGTTTGTTTACTATTAAAATGATATTTTAGACAATATTCCTTTTTAAAAGAAACAATCTAGCTTTTTTACAGAAATGAAAATAAATATTTTTAAATCTTATCTATAATATATTAATTATATAATCAAATTGTAAATAAAAATTGCAGGTAATGCTTGTTATTATTTATCAATGTATTAAAGGTTTAATATATGCTAATGGTTTTCGTAGGATATGATTACTATATTATAGTCCAAAATAGATAACTAATAATTATAAATTAATGGATGAATTTAGAGGAAAATAATTTATAAATATTTATTATATATTTTAAACCCAAGGCTCCTATACCATATGGCTTTGCAGGTTTGAGCTCCCTTTCAGCACGAGTATATTTAGCAGCAGACACCATTTTCATAGATTTTGTTATTTTTTGAATGTTTTTAACAGACTTTAAACGCATGGAAACTATTTATTTTTAAATATATAATATCATAAAAAATAAATTACTAGTTTTAAGTGTGGCCATGCCTCTGACTTGAGTTCTAAAGATTTTATTATATGATAACATTATAAAATATATAATTACATTAAAAATGTGTTCATGAACATATTGAATCGAGTATACTATACGTAAAATAAAAATGTGTTGACATGACAGTTTGGGTTGCAGCTGATATTCATTTTATCACTTGTCAAAACTGGGAAAATATCTTAGAGGGTTTGATTGGAAACCAGGGGACTCACAGACAGCCTCTATTCGATTTTCATCCTTAGGCTACTTGAGTATCAATAGACTAAAAAAGTACAAATATTATAGTGCGAAAACATGAAATTTAAATATGAATATTAAAATATTATTTACTCACTTAATTCTATATATTTTAACTTTATCCAAATTAGAATTGAACAATAATTAACCCATATAAAATTAGAATACAGACACAATTACAAAAAATTATAAGAAAAAGTATACCGTATATGTAATTTGGAATTCGAATTCTAAATTATACAAAAGAAAACATAAAGATCTAAAATCTAGAATTTTCTATATTAGAATTTTAAATCGAATTTTTTTTCGAAGTTTCATACATGGATTAATTTTTATATTGGAAACCAAAATAGCGTGTCATAAGTTAAAATTGTGTTAACGACTTCAAGATGCAGCTTCTATTTTGAATGTATTATACATCTATAGCTAGGTAAATCCAAAAACAAATTAAATGGTTCATTATTTATTTTTTAATTGAATGATTTACTATTCGTACTTGTAGAAATAATAAAATTTACTATTTATATTCAATTTTTTTTAAAAATAAAACAATTCTTACGGAAATTTATTTTCCAATATTTTTTTTTATTACAAATCTAGAAATTATATAATAATCTATTAATAAATAATATACAACCAAGTTTTAACGAAATATTTTAATTTATAATGCCAACCAAATTTTAGGGGCTAAGAGATTTTTTTTTATTGTTTATTCTTTATAAGACATTCGATAATTTGACAACAAAGTCCCAACTAAGATAATACCTTCATTAGCACTTAAATCCCTTGTTAATCAGATGAACTATAAGACTGGTATGAACTCACTTTAAACTGTTAAATAACAGAGATAATACCTTTCGGTAAAAATTTTATATTAACATTTTTTTATATCATTTTAACATTACATTTTTTTTTTAATATCAATTTGTATTTCACATAATTGGTTATTTTTTTTATTGTTAAGATATAAAAAGGAAAATTGTTTTTGGTTAAATCAGTTAAAATAATCAAATATAATTTATAAAAAATAAAAAATAAAATAAAAGATAAGATAATTATGATTTATTCCAACAATATATAGAAGAAAATTCTGTCTAAATATATCATGGTAATAACACATAATAGAGAATTATATCCAAATTCTTCATAAACAAAAAACAATATTAACAAAGAAAGTCCAATTACCCTTTCACAAAATAAAATAAAATTTTAAAAATTAACTTAATGTAAAATTTGAATAAAGGAAATATCTATACTATAATTTCCGATGTCCTCACTACGTCACCGTGACATCATGTCATCACTACGTCATGTAATCGTTACTTCATGTCATCGCTGCGTCATGTCATCGCTGCGTCATGTCATCGGTACGTATTTTTATTTTTTTTTATTTGTTGATTTTATTTATTGATTTTATACAAATAGATGATCCTATAACTTAATTTTTTATGCAACTGTAGGAGGCCATATTAAAATCATTGTTAAAGTAATATATTATTTACCAAATATTATAAATTATTAATATTTTATATAGAAATTCAATTTACTTGTGAGGTAAGCTTGAGAAAATCTTTTTAAATTATTAAGATCTTGGATGCTTGGAAAAAGTAATACATTATTTACAAAATATTACAAATTATTAATATTGATTGGGATTTTTAATGTTAAGTCTTATGTTAATATACATTAAATATATCTATTTACAAAATATTACAAATTATTATATTTTATATAGAAATTCAATTTAACAGATGATCCTATAACTTAAGTTTTCTATGCAATTTTAGGATATTATATTAAAACTAATTGTCAAAGTAATACATTATTTACTAAATAGGAGTTATCTCCAATAATACGAGGTAATATTTTTTATTTTTTATAATAATATTAGGGCAGACCTTATTTTGTCATGATTCTCTAATAAGTGGTTTGCCCAAGCTTTCTCTTCCCTTATTACAAATTCACTTGTTTTTTTGTATATATAACTAGGAGTTAACTCATAGATTAATTGGTAAATCAAAGATTTCTCATTCATTAATTATAAATTTAATATCTCTAGGCTTGGGACAATTTTTTCAAAATTATTATGGGTTCGACTGGGCTTAAAAAATATTTCTCAAAATTAATATTGGCTTGGTTTTCAAAATTATTAAGGATTGAAATGGGTTTGAGAAAATCTTTTTAAATTATTAAGATCTTGGATGCTTGGAAATTTTTTCCAAATAATGTGGGCTTGAACCTAGATTGGGATTTTTGATGTTAATGTTGATATAAAGAAATATATTTTACCCGTAGACTAATTGGTAAATCAGAGATTCCCTCTTCATTAATTATAAATTTAATATTCCTGGGCTTGGTTTCAAAATTATTATGGGTTGGACTGAGCTTAAAAAATATTTCTCAAAATTAATATTGGCTTGGTTTTCAAAACTATTAGGGATTGAGGTGGGCCTATAAATATTCAATAAATTAACATAATTCTGGGGGATTTAATTACATACATAAGTGCTGATGAAACGATAACCGAGAAAGAAGCGACGTTTTATCCCATTGAATTTCTAAACTCTTTAAGTATATCAGGATTACCACCTCACAAACTTTTACTCAAAGTCAGGGTACCTATAATATTAAAGCGTAACTTAAATTCTGCTTCTGGTTTAAATAATGGGACTAAATTGATTATAACTTATTTGCTACCAAATATAATTGAGTCGGAATTTGTTTCTGATAGTTTTCTCAGTACTAAAGTTCTCATTCCTAGAATAAGTTTAATTCCTATAGATTCTGATTTGCAATTTTCCTTTAAGCGCCGCCAATTTCCCGTGAGACCTGCTTTTGGCATGACAATTAATAAAGCTCAGGGACAAACGTTGAACAAAGTTGGCATATGTTTATCTCATCCTGTTTTTTCACATGGACAGCTATATGTAACTATCTCTCAAGTTTGTTCTCCTCATAAACTAAAGATTATAACCAATGATAAAACAAGAACTACAACCAATGTGGTATATCGTGAGGTTATATTCGACTAATCCCGCTTTATACGAATAAGAGTGAACATTACTTAGTATGATATTATTTTATAATTTAAACAATTTTATATTATTTAAGCATCCTACGTATTTTTAAAGATATCCATTTTGTCGGGCCGCACATAATGCTCTTTTATCTCTGATGAATATTTTGTCTAACTGAAAATTATACAAAGTACATTTTTAAAATTTAACTAAATGAATATATCAATTTTTAAGGATCCTACTTTTTTTAAAGCATACCATTTTGTTGAATCCACCATTGCTCTATTATCCCTGCTGATTATTTTTTATAACGCACAAAAAAATGTATATAGTACATTATTTTTATTATAAATAATTTTATATATGATTTTATATCTATTCCAAAAAATCGAATATTTTTTATAATTTAAATAAATTTATATTATTTTAAGCATCCTACGTATTTTTAAGGCTATCCATTTTGTCGGGCCGCACAATATGCCCTTTTATCTCTGATGAATATTTTTTCTAACTAACTAAAAAATATACAAGGTACATTTTTAATATTTAACTAAATTAATATAACAATTTTTAAGGATTATACTTTTTAAAAGTATACCATTTTGTCGGATCCACCATTGCTCTATTATCCCTGCTGATTATTTTGTATAACGCACAAAAAAATATACATAGTACATTATTTTTATTAAAAATAATTTTATATATGATTTTATATCTATTCCAAAAAAAACGAATATTTTTTTATAATTTAAATAAATTTATATTATCTTAAGCATCTTACCTATTTTTAAGGCTATCCATTTTGTGGGGCCGCACATAATGCCCTTTTATCTCCGATGAATATTTTGTCTAACTGAAAATTATACAAAGTACAAATTTAAAATTTAACTAAATTAATATAACAATTTTTAAGGATCCTACTTTTTTAAAAGCTTACCATTTTATCGGATCCACTATTGCTCCTGCTGATTATTTTGTATAATGCTCAAAAAAATATACATAGTACATTATTTTTATTATTAATAATTTTATATATGATTTTATATCTATTCTAAAAAATCATTATATATTACAATATTTAATTTATTCAATTAAAATTATATATTTATTCTTAAGGTTCCTACCTTTTTTAACAATACTCCTTTGTTTTCTATTTTTAGGATTTTATATTTATTCCAAAAATAATACATATTACGGTATTTATATATTATTTAAATTATTCTATATTTATTCACAAGGATCCTATTTTTTTTTTAAGTTTGCCAATTGGTCTCTCCGAATGGTATTTTATTTTATTCCTACCTTGTAAAATTAACTTGAGAATTATTTTTTTTTACTTTAGAAAACTATACCCATCTTATTTCCTATTTATAATTGTTCAAATTTTGATACATCAGCCATTAATAATGAACAAATGCAAAATAAACCTTTAAATATCATAATAGGCTTGATAAGTCCCCCCAAAATTTTTTTTGATGATAGCCATCCAACTACTAGATATTGCATCTAATATTGACCCATCTACTGGTTTACATTATTTTCATGTTTGTTTAATTTCAACAATTGTTTATTTATATTTTTGCCTGATTTATTTGTCTAGGCTAACCAAACCTTACTCACATTACTACAAAACATGATGAATCTGTTATGGATAAGCAAAGAAAATAATGACAAATAAACAAACGCCTTGCCCGTTCTAGAGTTACTGGTAGCCAAAATAATAAAGAACTACTCTTGAAATTAACTCCTCTGGATGTTTATTTTATTTTTCTTATCTTATGTTTTATATTTATATGTTTATTTTATTTTCACTCAGTTGCTTCTAAATGATATTTCTATCACCACTACCACAATCCCTATGCAACCTCTGCCTATTTTTTAACAAATATAAGCATTCAATTCCTTACTATTATTCACTTCACTAGGAGTTATTATAAATATTACTTTATCCGATTCTCTGAGAAACTTTCATTAATATTTAGAGGAATGTTCAAACTTGAATGTGCAGTACGGCCATCTTCATCAACTTTATTAATGGAAAAATATGCCGTAGTTCTGTCGTGGCCTTTATAACAATTCTTACTACCTTTTTATGGTTGAGTTAACATTGTCGTTCATGATTCTATTTTAGAGGGGGCTACCAATGCTGACATTGACAGAAATATCATTTTGCATTCTTCTTTTACTAGTATCCCAAGGCATAGGCATATACCTCATCTTTATCAGGACGTAATGTGTTTTGTACACTGCTTTGGTAATCCGTCATTACTTTCATCTACAACCTTAAATGATGTGAAATTGTACTTTAATTATTTCCTCTCCAGACGACCGCCCAGATTTATTTTGTAGCTTTTTCCATCAAAAATAAAAATGTCAACAAGGATTTGTTCTTAATTTTATCAAATACACAACATAATAATCATTCCTCATTATTTTTTAAAAAAATTAGCCTAAATTTATATGTCAATAAAAAATATTTTCTTAAAAAATATATAAATAATTTGCAAATAAGTTTCATTAGTGTTTAATATCATTTTTGTAATTTAAATAGATAGCATTTTTTTTTAACTTAACATAAAAATATAGACAAATAATTTGGGAAATGCAAGACATACATTAAATTTATCCGAATAGCTACAATAACCCTATATAATAAACAACAATTTATTTTTTATATATAATTTTAATTGATCATATTACCAAAAAGTATAAGAGTCGGTTATTTTAATATTATTTGTCATGATTCTCTAATCAGTGATTTGCCCAGGCCTTCCCAGTTTCCCTTAATACGGAATTCACATGTTTTTTTTTACATCTTAAACTAATTGGTAAATCAAATATTTCCCCTTCATGTGATGATAAATCAATTAAAAATTTAACTATCCGAGGTGGGAAAAAATTTTCAAAATTATATTGGATACGACTGGGCTTGGAACCTTAAAATAAATATTAGCTTGCACCTGGCATGGGAATATTTTTTACAAATTGTTAAAAGTTGAGCTGGGCTTGATGAACTTTTTTATAACTATATGCTTCCTAATATTGTGAGCATGGACCTGGCATGACATCTATCGTAAAAAAATGAATAAAAATCTCATTCCCCATCATTTTTGACGGGCTTTCTACTAGTTTATTTAAAGTTCTCATATCGATTTTTTAACTTCTATTTGTCAAATTTTTTTAACAACTTAATTTAATCTCTTTTTAATTCCCCTCACTTTTCCGTTGATTAGTTCTTTTTCATCAATAAGAAATATATTTTTCATTTCCAAACATCTCTATATCTTCACCAGTCATTCCAAAATAATTTTGTTATAAATTCCTTTAAATTTAATTTAAATATTTCATCAAATCTCCTTTAGTCCTAAAATTTTCTGATTTTAAAAGGGTTTTGCCTCTTTGCTAGCCTACTAAGGTTAACTTAGATTTTTTTACCCCCCCCCCCTAACCTATTATCAACTGCTTGTTTTCTTTTGCCCGTATTTATTTAAAATTATTATATTTCCTCGCTTATCAAGCTAGGTAATCTACTTCTAGACTCGGCCAAAGAATCTTCTATGTTTAATTGAGCATTTGAAAAATTCTATTTGTCTCCATTAAAATAAAACTACTAATGTTGTTAAACGGCTCGTTATGAGCCGATTTTTAAAAACGGCTAACTCAACAGAAAAATATTACGCAAGCCTAAAGATTTTGCTCAGGAACAATATACATATATTATCGAAATCTCAAGACTTGGGCAATATTTTTCTGGCTAAAATATTGAGTTAGCCGTTTTAAAAAATCGGATCAAAACGAGCCGTTTAACAACACTAATAACTACATAGAAAAGCAAAAAAAATACTAATGAGTGACATATATTCCATTTTTTAACAGTAATTTGTCGATTCATCCTTATCTTTGTGATATCTATTTATTTTTTTGAATATACTAAATGTTGTCATCTAATTATGAATTAATTTTTAAAGATAATAATATAATAGGAAAATGAATAATATATAAGAATAAATTATTATATAGAAATTGTAGATTATATTTAAATTTCGTAAATTAATATAATAAATTCTGTCTCGAATTCGGGGTAAATCACTATTAATAAAATATTCTATTAAGAGGAAAATTTACATTTAATCACAATATAATAAATTGAGTAAATGGCTAAACGCGATTCCGAGTATGGAATAGAAGATATTACTAAGGAACACCAATTTGAAATCGCAATTAGCTGGTTTCTATACTTTGTTCTGTATACACTCGGTTTATAGCAAGCTAGTAGACTAATTTGGTAAGCATTGTTTCTTAATCAGCACCTGCTTTTTGCTACGCATAAATTTTAATTAGTAGATCGGGTTTTCCTTGATTTTCAATATTTTCCTAATGATTTGTAGGGAGTCCTTAGAACTTTTGAATGAGGACCAAAAACCTATATGCAGCGTCTACATGTCAGGATATGGATGCAAACCCTTCTCATAAACCTATACCTACCACTTGAAAAAACTGCTGTCTTCAGCGGCGATATTTTCACATTATTTACCTTTTTGATTAAATAACTTAAATTATTACTAACTATCATAATATTATGTAAATTTTTTTAAACATGATTTCAATTAAAAACCTTGAATGGATTATTATAGTGTATTTTTTGACAAGAATATGAGTTTACTGATTAGCTCGATTAATAACATTTAAAATGGTTTTATTTGAAAATGAATGTATATTATTGCAATATATTGATTTGGTCAATGTTTAGCGATATCATTGTATTAATAAGTATATAATATAAGCATTAATTTTTAAAACAATATATTTTGCTCTCTTTCATTTAAAAATTTAATGTATATACCCTCCCCCCCCCCATCATTCCTAATAATTTTATCCTACCCCCTACTAATTGGATATAAACAGATACCCCCACCAACCCATCTTTTTGTGAAAACGCTGTATATGTGATATAACTAAAATGTCTTTGCAAAGTATTAAAAAACTACATTGGTATCTATCATAAGTTCCTTTATACCCTTTTAATTGAAATTTTGATCCCTTAGAACTCCAAGAGGAATAAAAGTCTAATAAATACAAGTCCCGTTAAATTGCTATAATGTATTTATTCCAACTAATCTTTAAATTTTCGTAAATTCTTCTCCCCAATCACTAAAATCTTTAAAGATATCAAGTAAAAAAGGTCAAAAAGGAATGGGGAAAGGCTTCCCATTGTTTAAAAAATCTCGATTTGAGATTTATTTATAATCTCTCCTGCAAATTATACTAATAAAAAGCTTGTACCTATTACGTTGCGTTTAGAAAGAAATCGGCTTATAAAATAAAAATATAAACACTTGAAGAGAACACTTATTTATTAGGCAGACTGTACAATTACAAATGTTAATTTTTAGAATTTATGTCTTTTTAAAAATATTCTTTTAAATTTGTAAATATTCTTTTTAATAATTTATTAATTTGATTTAAAATCTTTCTTTTTTATATATATTTTAATAGAATGAAACTTCAATTTGAAGAAAAACTGAATAGCCTCCTAATGACTTATAGGATTTTTGTTTGTATTCTATTTAAAAAATACAGGTAAAATTATTTAGACCTTTGCTTTTGATAATTCAGCAGTTATTTTTTAGAAATTATTACATATATTAATATAAAAGAAAGTTTTCTCTAAAATATTATGATTAGGAATAAATAAATAATATTTAAATGCATAACGCATTTTATATTATTAATACATAGAGGTTTTCCAACAATAATTTAGAAAATAATTCTTATTCTAGAATCTTTAATTGAGTCCAAAACAGAATAATAAATTTTTTTAAATTATTAGTTAGTTGATAATAGTAGAATGGTCATCTTGTTAACATTACTCAGATACTAGAATTTTAACATTTAATTAGGTTTAAAACAAAGTAGTTGAAATATTTTTTATATTTTCTACGTGGGCATAATAGCTTGTAAATTCGAAAATTGAGTTACAGCTAAACTCACTTAATTTAAAGCCTAAGTGCAAATATTTTTAAATGCGGAAAAAACCCGCAATTCATTTAAATCAACAAAGACATAATGTTAAAATATATTTATAAAGGCAAATCGGTTAATCGCGAAATTTCGGTTAAATACGTAACAACGCTATTTTTATCGGATAATTGCGAAGCGATGATTTTTGGATGCGATATTAGCACTAGATAATTAAAAATTTATTTTTTAATTTTATTTCTAGAGTACCTTCCCCGTCCCATTTTTTAAAGATAAATAGGGCCGTAGGTTTTGGGTGTGGGCTGTTCTCGTGGTCCTACCTATCTGTTCCAGCCCACAGACGTTTAAATAATAGTTTATGAACTATTATGCGTACAAGTACGTGCGGCTTGCCCACAAACGTGTGAAGGGCTCCTCATATTTTACTTTATACCTAACTTAAATCTTCCAATTAGATGGAAATGAGGAAAACCTAGCGTAGCTCTGTTGTACCTACAACGTTGAGAGGGCGTATGCGTTTTATTCCGTATATAATCTTAGGCCTTTTCATTTTAATTGAGGCTACGAACCATTATTAAGATATTTTTATGTATAAATTGTTATTAGAAAATTTAATTTATTGAATCGAAATGATCACAATGCCTTACAAATAAACCGCAAGCAAGTAAGATAATTAGATTTCCTAAAACAGAGGCAGCATTATTAATTTGACTTACACAGATACGAAGCACACAAATTGCAGCCCAATGATGGCCTTGCATAGCTAGAAAAGATAGAATTTACAAAAACATTTGATGAAGTTATTCAAAATTTTATTAATATGTAGAATTTTTATAAGTCTAGGTGACTGCTGAGATTAAGAAAAAACAAAATTTTCTCACAATCTACAATAAAAGAGGGAACGATCTTGGAAAGTTTATTTTTTTGATAAATAATAAGATTTTGCTATTTTCTAGAAAGTGCAGAAAGCGATTACTTGAATGATGTAATAAAAAACATATCAGAACCTGATTATTTACCTAACAAAAGCAAAGTTATTGAATGGATATGACATTTTATGATGTATATATATGCTAACATGAAGGACCTATAACATCAAGAAGGCTGGAAGTTATTGTAAAAGGCTTATTAAAACATTTTTTACAAATTAATTAATTTTATGGAAATTATTTATCTGTTGATATATTCAATATAATAGAGAAAAATAAAATATCATGTGTGTAATTTTAATTTTGCAATTTATAAATTAAATATTAAAATGTTTTGTCAAATATGAAATTAAAAACATTTCTCAGTAAGTAAAATTAGATTATCTACTATATACTCATTTTATTTATACATCGTTGATTGCTTCTAATTTATTTTGAAGGGTCTATGTATCTAAATTAAAGGATTACCTGAGTTAGTATTGCCATATATGACAATTTATGAGGTGATAAATAGAAAGAAAAGAGAGATGGTCATTGGGAACATTACAGACATTTATTAATTATTATTATTAGCATAATGTTTATTATTCTTTTTTAGTGAATTTGAATATTATTTTATGTGCATAAAAATATTGGACACAATATACAACAGTTAACATAACTTTAAATATATATATTATACTAATTCTTATATTGTATATACCTGAATTTAAGGGTATAAACATAAAATGTATGTTTTAAGGTAAATATTATATTTCTTGTTACAACTTTTATATTACTGAGTTTTCTTCATCAAATTTTGTTATGGTTATATTCAAGAATGAATTAAAATTTTTTAATTAGTGTTTGTAAAGATGTCATATAAACAATAGTTTTCTTTTCTATATTTATTAAATGTTTCTCTAAAATTACTGATTATGTAAAATTTGGAAAGAAATCTTAATATGAATTGATGTATGTATTTTTGATTATATCAATTTAAATTTATATTTTTTAAAAAAACATGGTAATATCCAATTTTTTAAAAATATTTAAAAATTTTTATTTTAAATTTTGCTCTATCCAAATTATATACAAATTAGGGAAAAAATATTTTTAATCATTTTAAATTTATTTTAATAAACGTAATATGTGTACATTAAAGTTGTCAAATTTGATAGCTTTAGTGCTTGGAATATGTGTAAATAATATATTATTGATAATAACAATAAATTGGCTTATATTAAGAAAAAAATATATTTAATTTTATAATTGCAAAAAATCTGATAAGTGCAAAATAATAAATTTCTTTAGGCCCCTTGCTTGGCAATTATCCGGATTTGACGCAGACTCATTCGGCTGAGTGAAGCGCTCAAATTAGAAGAGTTTTACATAGTGACATAAAGGACAATTACACGTCAAAAGATTAAAAATTTGTCTAGCATATTGAACAATTATCATTTATATGGTAAACTTATAGGGATTAATATTTGCAAATATAAAAATAAGCCAAAATAATAAAATAGTATTATAAATGGTGAATTCGCTTTTTGTTTATTTCTTATATTTATTTCCAAAATATATATTTATAATATAATGATCGGATATTGGCAAAAACATTGCCATATTTTACAATACAGTTTATATAATTTAGAAATTAACTTATAGTGATAATAATTTGATGTAATGTTTGGTCACCTATCAAAAAATTCAAAATTTGGCTGAAGATAAAGATGATAACAGATAAAAAAAAATGGCAAAAAAAAATTTACTAAGGGAAATATTGTGAAAAATATAATTTTGAATAACAAGACTACTATTAATATATGATGAAAAAAAGGATGGAAAAACCTAGAAGGAAAGGAATGATACATATCTTGGAGTAAAATAGAATAGATAATATTAAAAACAAACAATTTATCTTATTGTATGATATTTAAAATTTTAATAAATATATATTTTTTTAATTATGTTTCATATTCATAAATATTATATTTAAAATAATTGAATAATTTTTTCAGTCAAAGTTTTGTCTAGATTCATCATTAGTTTAACATGTGCAAAATGAATTTAATTTCATTTAAATTTGTGATTTATAACTACCTTTTGGTGCTTGAATAATTTCTCTTATAGATTTTTTTGATATACCTATTGCTTAGAATGATATCTAAGGCCCTAAGCAACTTATTATTGCTTTCCTTAAAATAGTATTCCCAGAAAATTGATTTTTAGACCGTTGCAAAAAAGGCCACATTCAAATTTTTGGTATTTTTTAAATAATTTCGAGCCGAGTCTGACAAAAATTTTATATTTTCCCCTAACCCTTTCAATAATTGGAGAAAATAGCTCCTACTAAAACCTCATCCCTTTCCCGCTCATGTAGAAGCTAAGAATAGTTTACAGGAGTGTTAAGTTCTTTTAAATGAAAACTTTATAAAACAATGTGCAACTGAAGCGCATTATTAAACCTTATTATATAATAATATACAGTCATCTGTCATAAAAATTTGTCATAGTCATGGAATGTTCTATCCCACTTGTCAAGTGTTTTATAGAAGTTTCACTACAATATAATCTTGACAGATGATTAATATATCAAGCAAAGCTTATTTAAAAATTGGTCTACACACATATAAGTATCCTTACGAGGCTGTAAATGGATTATTAATTAAAAAAAATGACCCATATAAAGATTCTTACGATATTATAGATGTCATTCCACTATTTCACCAAAATTTAACTTTAACAGCCATGCTAGAAATTGCCCTAACTCAAGTATATACTAATTTTAATATTTAATTAAAATTTAATATTTAGATTGATGTCTATTGTGAGCAAAATGATATGGTTATCTGTGGTTATTATCAAGCAAATAGTAGTCTCAATAATAATGAGTACAATAATTTATATAAATTAATTTTTCATATATTATTAGTCCAGATTTGTTTGCACTTAAAATTATGGATAAAATATTAGCCAATTTTGAAAATCCATGCCTAATTATTGTACTTAATTTTATATACATGATAATTTGATTAATATTTAGGTCAACAATACAAATTTATCATTGAAAACAAGCAGCCCATATATTGACATATACAGATTTCAGGATGGAAAATTGAAAAACATTAGGTATATATTTAAAGAGACATTTAAAATCTATAATAATTTAAATAGCAAAGAAAATCTTAATATGTTTGATCAAAATAGTAACACATACCTGATAAGACTCTTAGGCATTAATACTCAAAATACTTTGATTGATTTTGATAATCATCTAGATAATATAAATAATGACTGGAAGAATCATGATATAAATAATATTATATTGAAAAGTTTTTCCTGATTATTTTATAAATATATTTTTCTAATAATAAATATTTATATTTTCATATTACCGAAACAAATATATAAACAATTATATAATTCGAAACATAATTTATAATGATTAAGTATCATTTAAATTTCCGCATTTTTCTATCCAGTTTTTTCTGCTTTTTTTCATTTGCTTCAGAATCATTTACAGGTTGAGCAAAAAACCAAGGTTGCAATATGTAAGTCCATAACAGATAGAATGCTCTGATAGGAATCTATTTAAAATAGTTGAAATTAAATATATTGAAAATTACCTATTAAATGAATTAAATAAATGTCCATTATTTCTAAGGCAAATGAAAGATAGCTCAGTGTATTACTATAATTAAATGCAATTTCAAGTAACAGCTCTCTTATATCCATTTTTGTGAGGGAGAGGGCTTCCTAATTTTTTTTACAAATACCAGTTATGACCTATATTTTTGGCTTAGCCCAGAATGGGATATGGAAAAAACAATAAACATAAAAAACCTTGCCAGACCATTAAAATAAATAAATAGGTAAATTGGCTCAAATTTGACATCTATATGTTTTAAGGTGCTTAGTTCAAAGGTCCATGCTATCCACCTCTGTAAACCCAGCACTAAAAATTTATAAGAAATTACAAATAAATTGTTGATATCATTTAATATGTTTCTAAATGCACATCATGATTTGTAAAATTATAAGGCATTAACTGTTGGTTTACCTATCATTAAAGATGCTATATGCTCTCAATAATGTAAAATATTTTGTTAAAAAACCATGGTAAAAAATTGGAATTAGTTATAAATATGATATTTTCAAGCATATAAATAGTTACCAACTATTACTTATTTCTTAAATTTAATAATAATTAATAATTAAATCATTCATGCATATTTTTTATGATAATTTAGTGGTAATATGAAGTTATTTTGAATTTTAATCAAGGATGCCTTCAAAACAGAAGTCAATAGTAAAAAAAATATTATATCCACATAAGGACACCTCCAAAACAGAAGTCAATAATAGAAAAAATATTATATCTATAAGTGCAAAATGTACTGTCTGCCTTGCAACATTACTAAATATGTATAGTAAAACACGTTTAAATAATGATTTAAGAGAAAACGACCTCAACTCAAAATTTATGTCGTTTTTTTCAACCCGTGTAATACATCTCCATTAACTTTGAACCTTGGCACAAATAAACGAGGCACAAACAATTCCAACAGACATCAATGAAAATTTAATTTATCTTATCACATATTTGCCCTCAACCTATTTTTTATCATTTTAAATTTACTTATAGCTATATTACAGTTAGCTTCCATATATGATAATGTTAAAATAAGCAAAAAAGAGATTAGTGCTGTGCTGTTATATTAAAATGCTATTTTTTTGTGTAGCTTTATCGATAGCATGTATTTTGAAAGGCAGCTTTTAGGTTAGCTCTTGCACGTTACTTTTTTGTACAAAGCAGCCAGCTTTTGGCTTCTTTGCTACATTCATATTGAATAGAATAATTATTTATAAATAAGATTATTATTGTAATTAAATTTATGATTTTGAAATTTAAATATAATATATTTCTTATTTTATAATAATGTGGTATTTGTATCTAGATATAAAAATGATCGACATCCAGATGCTATTTTAGAGTTAAGTTACATTTTGTTTATATAAAAAATAAAAATATTTGAACACAAAATTCAGGGAATGACTAAGCGCCCCCTATCAAAGAAGCTTGATTTAAATTATATTTATATAGAAACGAATTTAGCTTTATAAGATGATTTAGGAAATATTTTTTTTGATTTAAAACAAAATTTTTTTTAAAAGATAATTTTTTACATGACTAGAATACGCGCTCCCTTATCAAAGAGGCTTAATTTATAAAAAATTAAGCAAAATCATATAAAGCTTATTGAAAGGAATAAAATAATGTTAATATTTTATTTTAAAACTTTTTATCTTAGTGGGCTTTTGAAAAAAAACACATTTTTTTTACTAAACTACGCACCCTCGGTAAATGTACATTATTTTTTTTAAAAAATAAAAGCACAATCATAAAGCTCATTAAAAGGAATTAGAAAATTATTAATTTTTTAAAAATAACGTATATTTACCGAGGGCGCGTATTTTAGTCAAAAAAAAAAGAAAATAAGTGTTTTTTCAAAAGCGCACTAAGTTATAAAATATTTATAAACTTAATATTAACATTTTCTAAATTCTTTTAAGAGCTTAATAAGATTATGCTTTAATTTTTTTTTAAAAATAATGTATATCCATCGAGTGGTAGTTTAGTCATAAAATTTTTTTTCGATAATTAAATTTAAAAAAAAATGAATATTACCATTTTCTGAATCTTCTTGAAAAGCTAAACATGATTCTGTATTCATTTTTTAAAAATAATGTATATTTACAGAGGACGAGTATTCTAGTCAAAAAAAAAGAAAATATTGTTTTTTCAAAAGCCCACTAAGTTATAAAAAATTTATAAACTTAATATTAACATTTTCTAAATCCTTTTAATGAGCTTAATATGATTATGCTTTTATTTTTTTAAAATAATGTATATTCAACAAGGGCGCGTAGTTTAGTCAAAAAAATGTGTTCAAAAGCCCACTATAAGTTATAAAAATTTTAAAATATAATATTAACATTATTTTATTCCTTTCAATAAGCTTTTTATGATTCTGAGTTAATTTTTTATAAATTAAGTTTCTTTGATAAGGAGGCGCGTATTCTAGTCCTGTAAAAAAATTATTTTTAAAAATTTTACTATTCATTTTTGTTTTAAATCAAAAAAACATTTTCTAAATCATCTTATAAAGCTAAATACGATTCCATATTAATATAATTTAAATTAAGTTTCTCTGATAGGGGGCGCGTAATCCTTGATTAGCCATGACGCCTATTAATAATAATTTTATTTTATTAAAATTGATATAATTTTAAAAAGAAATGATAAAACACTAAAATATTAAAACAACTATATAAAAATATGTAAAAATTTATAAAATGACTTAATAAAAATATATATTAAAAGTATCGAAGGCTCTAATATTAAAAACAATACCACTGATGCACAAAATTATCTTAAGGAAATAAATTTATTTCGAATTTTTTAAAATAATTTTATAGATACTCCCCTGACTTTCAATGAATAAATTATAAGTTTAATGTAAGGATTTTTTTAAAATAAATGCTCGCTTTAAAGGAGAATTTGTTTGAAAGAATGATAAAAATAGGGGTACATTCAATATTTTTTTATTATTACCTTGTTTACATAATTTGTGCTCTCATATTAAGTTTTTGTTCGAAAACAACGGTTAATACTGTATATAAGTATGAAAAAAAATTGTATCTGTATATAGATATGTTTTTAAATGGTGTATATATATCTAGATCCATTTAAAAAGTATCTTTTAACAACTCTGATAATATTTAATAGACAAATAATAGTGTATCCATCCAAATTTTAGTTGGAATTGGCCGTAAATTAGACTTGCTAGGTCCAAAGATTAGATCATTAGATAATCTGTCCCCAAGAGATTATAACCATGAAGGCAACCACTTCTATTGATATATTCTTTGAAAAGAATGACTTAATAGTGCGCACAAATTGAGCGTTTCAAGAGCAAATAATGCATTTCAAATGACCTATTGCAAATTGGTAAAATTCATTTTAAAAAACGCAAATAGGTTTGCTTTTTCATAACTTTTTATTATTATTCGCTGTGTAATATTATATAAAATGTAATATAAATATCTTACTTATATCCTAAAAAGGAATATTTAGAAATTAAAGAAATAAAAACGCAGACGATAATATAATTTTCAAAAGACAAATCCTTTTTTTAAGAACTTATTTAAAATGTTGCGTTTGCAACGCAGCGTTTGAAACGCTCAATTTGTGCGCACTATGAATATCCACATTATACTTTTTAGCATCAAAAATTAATAACATAAACATATTTAATGACTTTCCATATTTTATATATACCCAGTCCAGATTTATTTAAAAAAATTATTTGGCCTTACCCAGGTCCAGATATTTTTTTTAAAAAAAGTTTTCAGCCCTGCCTAGCCCGGATTTTTTTCGGCTCAACCCGAGTTTTATATTTTCAGGGCCCGAATTTTTAAAAAATATATTGCATTTATTTTTAATTTTTATAGCTAATAATGGCGATTCAAAATATTTGGTTTTGAAATATATGGCCTGGCTAAGAAGGTATTTTTAATTTTTTTTTAAAATCCAGCCCGGTATATTGAAGTACAAATTTTTTAAATATAAAATAGCGTAAAAATGCAAAAACGAATTTCAAAATATATTAGCTATTAGCGGCTATTTTTTTTTTGAAAATTAGCAGACAACACTAAATTAGTGTATAAAGTTTTAAGCATATTATAGTGCCGAATCTCATAGATATATATTAAGCAATGATTAAACTCGTTATTGCACTTGGCTGGGGTTATTATTATCCTATGTTATTTCCTTTTCGTTATTAGGACTCTACTCACTACCAAAAATGGAATCGTCAATATTTCACTCTACCCGACCCTTTTAAATAGGGGCATGAAGACAATTCATGTGGTAAGTGGTTAAAGGATGCATTTGATAATTGTGAAAATTTCTTCAAGATTTTCAGATATACCTTTGATATTTATTTTAACTCAAATACAAATATTGCATATTCGTTATAAGTTCTTCATTCGTCAAAAACCTTTCGGTCAAAATAATTTGATGGATTATAGAATGATGTAATACTTCAACAATATATAGAGATCGGATTTGAGGGTGTTCATCTTTGTATTCATCGCTGTGCATCTTTTTTAGACTTATTCTCTATTATATTATTTCATTCTGTACTATCCAGCAGCCTTTAATTAGAAATCTTGTCATTCATATTTGAAGTCATTTTTATAGCCTCATTTAGAAAAGATGTGAAAGTTATAAAAGTTTTGGTATCCTCGATCATTTTTTAAACTGATGAAATATCACTAGTTTGAAAATATCATGAAAGCTGCCCTGTTATTTCAAAAATTGACCTTTTAAATTTGCATAGATTCCGAATAAAAATTTAGCTAATGATGAAATTTTGGCGTTAAACGATTTATTACACTGTGACAAGAAAAATGGGAGAAATAAATAAAAACAAATTTTGGTGCAGAATCTGACGCTGAGTTCGAATCCGTTTTCCAAATTTTCCCTACACGTCAAGTTTTAAAAATATTACCGTATAAAGAC